TATACCTGCTGTCTTTTGGAAAGATTTCAATAAAGACGCAGTTTTATAAGCTTTGTGGAGAAACACTTAGAACTGGTTAGAGTAATCTGGGACAGCTTCACTTTAGAGGGATTGCGAATGTGGTTGTCTTGGGTCTGACTCTAGGCTTGAGGATGCCCTGAGCAACAGCCCTCCTCGTGGGCTCCCTCCTCTGTTGGTGGACCATGTGGTGGGTTCACTGGCAGCTGCGGCAGACAGCAGTGTGCATGTGGAGGTGAACCATCATTTGAACTTACCACAGTGCCCTGGGGCAGTGCCTCATGGGTGGGGTGGCAAAGCTACCGCCATTCCAGTGATAGTCCTGTGAGCAGGCTGCCAGCAACATGTCCTCCACTGTATAAGGGGAAGAGTCGCAGCTCAGTGAAAGGGCATCTGCTTTGCATGCCTAAGGTCCAAGGTTCAAACTCCGGGATCTCCAGATAGGGCTGTGAATGTCCCCTATCCGAAAAACTGGAGAGCCTCTGTCAGTGTGAACAATACAGAGCTACATGGACTGTTTCACTCAGTATAAGGCAGCTTCCAAGGTTGTAACGGCCACCCACAGTGAGTGCACTTCGCACATCATGTGACTGATTTGCTCAGAAGTAAAGGAACTGTCAGCCGTGCTCCTAATAATCTGCTGGTCAAGCTTTAGCCTGCCGTCTTCTATCTCCCAATACAGTGGTACCTCAGGTTACAAACGCTTCAGGTTACAAACACTTCGGGTTACAAATTCCGCTATCCTAGAAGTAGTTGCTCCGGGTTGCAAACTTTGCCCCAGGATGAGAATGGAAATCGCATGGCGGCAGCGGGAGGCCCCTTTAGCGAAAGCACGCCTCAGGTTAAGAACAGTTTCTGGTTAAGAACAGACCTCCGGAATGAATTAAGTTCGTAACCCCAGGTACCGCTGTAGTTTACACAGCATAGCTCCAGTCTAGGTCTAGGCAGAAGTGGGAGGGGCAAAGGACTCTGTCCTCTTTGGGTAGTATAGGAATCCAGCCCAACCCAGGTTTCCAAATTATTCAAGTTTATTACATACAAGTATAAAGAGGAAAATAGATCAGATTATTGGGTTAACTCTAAGTTTTACATTATTTAATAAGATGGGCCAAGACTAAGGGTGGTCATATCCAGTGCTTTTTTTCTAAAAAATGTTGAGTGGTACTCTCATTTTCCTACTCATATTGAAATACTGCCCCTCAATGAGGCCAAATTTAGATTCACAAAATGTTTAGGGGTATGTGTATCCCTGCGTCCCCCTCAGGAAAAAAGCACTGGTCATATCTGTTTCTCTCAGTTTCTCATTTATCCAGTATTCAGTTCACTTTTCCACATTTTTGCATCAGTTTGTGAATTTATTATTACTAAATTTATTACCCACTCTTGGGTCCCAGTGGAAGGCTATAACAATTCTAAATTCAGAATTAAACACACACACAGTTGTACGCTGCCCCAATCTCTGAGCTGTGCAAGATCACCCAGGGTTCACCCAGGCACAGCGGAAACTGTGGTGTCTTTACGATATATGGTTTAATTACACATATATACAACCTGAGCCTATGATGGAGGACTCACAGTTTTAACACCCCAAAAGTGTCTTGTTTTTCCCATAGCTGCAGCCATGGATTCAAACAGAAATCAAACATTGTGCTCTGCTTCTCTGGCTTTCCAGCCTACAGTTTTACTTCTGCTTTCTATTTTCTGCTCACGGTAACACAACCTCAACTCTAAACTCTGGCTTTTGTCCTTCTAACCAACCACAAGCTAGCCCCTTTCCTTCCTTCTCTTAATGGCCCATCACCCCAGGCAATTATCTGATCAGGAAGGTAGCCTGACTTGCGGGATCCATGGAATCAGGAAGTTAGCCTGGCTTATACTTTGACACTGGCTGGGGTCAGGGGTTTAAAAGGTCTGGCACCCACAAACTCATAACAATATAGTCATCACAAAAGTTTTATCAACATTTAAGTGCTCATTTCTGCTAGTAAAACACATTTTGGCAAACCACTTCCCCTATTATAATGAATTTGTATATGCTATTTTCACTAATATATGCAGTTCCCCCTTCTTCCAGCCTTATCTCATAACCTCACGCTGGTGAATCACTTTCAGGAGCCACTCAGATATAGATGAGTTAACATTGGCTCATCTGCTTAACGGCCAGATTCTACCACAGCAATGATTTCATACACTGGTGAAAATATTTGCAGGCTGATCTGGATTGCAGTTCAACCTGAAACACCGAGGCTTTCTTTTGTCTGTGCCGAATCTTCTAGCATTCACCTTCCTTGGATGGTCCCAGGTTCAAGTATTATGAGGGAGAAAAATTCTGTCTAACTTTCTCCATACCATGCATAATTTTATATACCTCAGATAATCCTAAGGGAGCACACCAATGTGGAAGTGGCCCATTAGAAGTCACTTTAGGGCCAGGGCTCCCTCAAACTTAGAGCTGTCTGCTCATCACCATTGTAGCTACGCTGAGGCTGGCCCTTCTCCAGGCTCTTGCTCACTTTGGCAGGCAGAGAGACTGACTCACTGATCTTCCTCACCTCTTGCTCGTGGCTTCTGAGCCAGAGGGAGAAGACAAGTAAACAAGCAGGTGACACTGGTGTGGAGGAGAGGGAGCAGGTCTAGAGGGTATCTCTCAATGATGTGCCCACTGTTAGAAAGATGCCTGACCACACACATCTCTGACACTGGCTTTTTAACATTTTAAATAGATAAGGGCTGCCAATGGCTACTAGAAATGATGGCTCTGCTCTGCCTGACTTGCTGGAAACCACAGGAGGAGAGAGTGCTCTTGTGTGCGAATCCTACTTGTGGGTTTCCCACAGGCTGGCCACTGTGAGAACAGGAAGCTGGACTAGACAGTCCATTGGCTTGATCCAGCCAGCTCTTCATATGTCCAAATACTATCCTCCATAGCTAACCAATACACTGAAACTGACACGGGGACAAATAGAAGAGAATGCCTTCACCCCAGTATGGCTCCCCTTTATCACATACACAGTCCAACAAGATGATGACAAAAATCCACCGACAGCATACGAATCAATCTGTCTCACTTGACCCAACAAGCCCTCCTCCCCACCCTCATAAAGGCAAACAAACCCCATTGCAGACAACCACAGACAACTAACCATACCCTGGGCCCCCAACCTCTCTCACTACCAGGGAAATGTAACAAGCGAAAAGAAAGAGAAGCTACCCAGTTGACACTGACACAAAACCCCACATGCACCCTATAAAAATATATATATACAGTGGTACCTCGGGTTACATACACTTCAGGTTACAGACTCCGCTAACCCAGAAATAGTACCTCAGGTTAAGAACTTTGCTTCAGGATGAGAACAGAAATTGTGCTCCGGTGGCACAGCAGCAGCAGGAGGCCCCATTAGCTAAAGTGGTGCTTCAGGTTAAGAACGGTTTCAGGTTTAGAACAGACCTCTGGAACGAATTAAGTACTTAACCCAAGGTACCACTGCATAAGCCTCACCATTCCACCCCTCCTGTTCCCCAACTTTATACAGTCATACCTCGGGTTACAGACGCTTTGGGTTGCGCAATTTTGGGTTGCGCACCGCGCCAAACCCAGCAGTACTGGAACGGGTTAATTCTGGGTTTCGGTGCTTGCGCATGTGCAGAAGTGCCAAATCGCAACCTGCGCATGCGCAGACGCGGCGCTAGGGGTTGCAAATGCTGCGGATTATGAACGTGCTTCCCACACGGATCACATTCGCAACCCGAGCCTCCACTGTACTGTAGTCAACACTAAGGTCTCACAACATATGTAACTGATTTGTAAGGAAGACTGTACAACCTGAAAAAAGAGCCAAGGCATGTACTTTTGTAAACCCAGAAAATCTTTAATAATAATTATATATTAATTCTATATATGATCCTCCATGTGCACTGTAAGTCCATAGAGAACTTTCTCATGTTTTCTCATGTCATTTTCGGTTGTGAATCGCCCTGGGATCTTTGGATGAAGAGCGGTATACAAATTTAATAATAGTAATAATAATAATGTTCCCTCACACCTGAGGACTGTTGTCACTTGTTACAAGGACTTACGGTACAATAAGAAGGGCCTTCTCCCACAACAGCCTGCCTGTGCATTAAAATCTTCAGATGTGGCTCTGCTCATAATACTGTCCATTAGTTAATTTTATATATGAATTTCTAGCGTGCCCTGTTCAATATGATCTCAGGTAGGTTTAAGTACAGTAAAACAGCACTGCAATAAAAACAAATCTGCAAAGCTTACACAAGCCAAGCATATTCCCGAAAGCATTTTCGGTGTCACTTGAGTTTCTGAAGTGTGTTATGTATGTGCAAAGAAGGGGGCTTCCTGAAGGAAGTCAGACCCGAACTGGCACCACAATCTTTTCTGTGCCAGGTCAAGACTTTTCCTTAAGTGCTGGCTTTATGGCCTCTGTCTACTTTTTAGTTTTATTAATTTGTGCCTCTCCATTTCTGCTTGAAGGATATGATTGTTTTTATTCTAACACCACTTTGGAATCAGGACAAAGGGTGATTTAGCTTTTCTTTTTTTTAAAAAAATGAACAAGTTCTTTCTCTTCCCTGACATGCAGCAGTGCTGATGTCCAACAAGGATGAAAAAACAAAAACAAAAAAGCAACCAAAAGTGCGGATCATCGTTTACTTTAGAACAAAATGCTAAGTTGTGAATCAGGTGCGTGACAAAAACAGGAACCCAACATTTGCTAACGTTAAGCAAAGCCGTGTGACTTTTGGGGGTGTCCGGGTGCAGCAGCGCCAGCGCTTAACGCGGACTTCCTCCTCTGCAGCCAACCAACTCTCGCGGAAATTGCATGTGCGTAAACGGGCATGTGCTTTTTTTGGCTCAGCTTTTGCTGTAATGAGACCGGAGCATTTCTCCTGGTAGCTGACGGCACTTACAGGGTTAAATACCTTCCCCCGCCTCCTCCGGGGACCACGTGACTGCGAGAGACGCACATTTTGGGCGGTCAGCTGACCAAGCAGTCACGGGGTTGTATTGCTCAGTCATTCCCCTTAATACCGGGAGGGCTGTGGGTGTGCAAAACAGACCGGACTTGGAGCAGCACGAGAAGCGCATCTGCTCCCCGTCGGTACCTGAGAGTTGCTACGATCCAGCCCATCCGCCGCCGTCATGGGGCTCCGCTCTTTAATCCTGCTCGCGTCCCTGGTGGTCGCTAGCTCGGCGCTCATCAGGTGAGGGTCGCCTTCCTCTCGCACAGTCGCCAAGCGCTCGGGGTTCCTTGGCTGGCGGAGGAGACTGGAAAGAAGAGGGGGCGGCGGGGGGAGATACGGAAAGCTTTCTTTGCAACCTGGAGGGAACTGCAGGGTTGTTGTGTTTGGAGTAAAATGGAGCCCCGTGCCTGCTGATCAACGGCTTAGCTTCTCACCCAGGGAGGGCGTGTCCGAAAGAGCGGACATCTCGAGGGCTCCGTCAAGTTCAGCTCGTGGCGTGCTGCCCTCGAGTTGCAGCCTGGCGGGATCTGGAGGGGCTGGGCGGCTCTGCTGTCATCTGCCCGGTTGCACGGGCTCTCAGACGAGGGAGCAGGATCCTTTCCTTGAAGGGGGGAGTGTTGAGGGTTCAGTTAAAAGGAAGGTTGGGGCAGCCCCAAAGGAGGGTTAAAGTGTGCTCCAGGGAGCTTGGATCCGTGTGTACATCTGCCCAAATATGCTGGTAGGCCTCTCCCCTCCAAGCATGTTTTATCTTTTAAGAAAATATCACGAAATTCACTTCCTTGTAAGGGGTTAGGGTTGTAGGCTGATTTAGCAAAGAATACAGGCTGTTGCTGTCAGGGTATAATTTCTGCCACCCCCTTGGTACCCAATTTTGTGATACTCCTGGCTCTCCTTGTGCCAACTCCATATAAAATGTAATGGAGGGGGGCCATAAAGATTTGAGGATAGGTAGAGGGAGGATTTTAGAGATCAAGCTGCTGTGCAAACCAAGATTTAGTTGATGTGTGGCAGGAAGTTATTGAAAGAAGTAACACCCTCAGGAGGTATTATGCTCCGTAGGCAAGTTGTCTTTGACAAGACGATTCTATGCAGGTTTACTGAGAGAGACCCAGTTAGTTTAGTGAGGGTAACTTCCATGTCAGTGTACCTAGGGTTGCAACTTGAGCATGAGAAGTAGTACTGAGCGGCCTGTGAATCTTCTCCTTTCTCAGATACTTATTAACAGGACTTACTTATTTCATACAGTTTATATACTGCTTGACTATGAAAACAGCAACCTCAGAGTGGTTTACAAAAAGAATAAAGCAATAGAATTGGTTAAGAACAATAGATGTTACCCAAAAAACCAAATAACCCAGCCTTAATCTAGTGAATGTGAAAGCGCTGCTTAGTTTATACATACTTTCAGAAAAACTGCAAGCACCAAGGGCTTGAGGTAAGGAGCCTTGAACATTGAGACAGTGCCCCACTGATGGATCACATAAGAAACAGAGCTCCAAGAGTAGATTTTTATAGGCACAGGCATTGTAAAACTCTGCTCACTTGGTTTCTCACACCTACCCCACCCCTGCTTTCACACACACATGAGACAACACCTGTTTGAAGAGATGGCACTCGGATAAAGACTAACGCCATCACATGTTCATAGTAAGCAAACGAGTTTGATGGCTGGTGTTCTGACATGTAGAAAGTGCCTCCTACGTGGTTGGCAGTGCTTTAAAACTTGGCTCTCTCTAGCTTGACCAAAGTTATAGCTTTCCCATTCTTTGCTTACTGTTAGTACTAAATGTTGCAATCATGTTGAAACAGCTAAAAACATGAGCCATAACCAGTTGCAGAGAAGACTGAATTATTTCAGAAAGGGCCGTACCCATAGAAAGGGGGCATTCTGAGAACCAGCCATAATTGAAATAGGTTACTTCATCTCTTGAGATCCACAAAAGTGTTTCAGCAGTGGGGACAAGTAACTCTTGTCCACCTGTCTCTGAATACCCAGCAGAATGAGACATACTTACCTTCTCTGCCTCTGAGTTTTCCATGCATTGCAGAGAATCTGCAGTGGGAGCAGTCTCTTGCTTTATGCTGGGTTGGCCAACCTGCTGGTCAGTTATTGTTCGTAGAAGATTGCTTCAAATATTCCATGAAGCCAAGAAGGCCAGGTGGTAGCTTATCTTTTTGCAAAAAGTTATAATTTGTTAGTTTATTTTGTATATAAGTGATTGTTAGCTTTGAACCAGTGAAATAAAACTAATTTGCCATCAGATCTGTTGCTGATTAGCGTATCTTTGTCCTAATCAAGTCAATACTCAGGTCAAGTGTATTTCATGCAGTTGATCAAAACTTTTTTTTTTAAACCCGTTTCAAATGCCCATTATAAGTTCCAGGGTGGGAAAGATAACTCCATTCCACCCCTTTCCCTTGTGTGTGCGTATGGAGATCTTGCTACTTCTTCCCTGGCATGGTGAGAAGCTGTCTGCTGACTCCCTCCCTCCCTCTCTCTCTATACATGCTCGAAGATGGTGGCAAAAGAAGAAGAAGAAAAGTTGGCCACTCAAGCCAGCCAAAAATTGTGTAGCTCTGCTTCTATGGCTACTGTCATCTGAAGGGATCATAAACTTGCAGATAGTTCCACTGACTCTTGGTAGTATCTAACACTGTGTATAGCATACACACTTGACTGCAAATATATCCCATTGAACTCAAACCCCTAGGATATACCGGAAAACACCTAACCTAGATTTTCTGCAAATACCAGTTTGGGTTGAACTGCTTTGCTGGAATTGTGCATGTCTGTTTCTTTATTAAAGTGTGAGTGACTCGTAGCCGAAAAGAAACTCTTGCTCTGATGTCTGTTCAGCATCCTGTGGCTTTGGGGTGATGCTGCTGTTCCAAAGCCTTTACCCAGGCTGCTCAAGCAAACTGTCAGACAAGAAGCATTGTGATGCATTGGAGCTGGTGCTTTTATCTTCCTTAGTCATGAGCTTGCCAGGGGGCTGCATCTTGTTACACAAAGGCAAACAAGCTAAAAGTTGTGAAGTCTTAGGCAGGTTGTTGTTAATGCGTTTGTTATTACTAAGAGCACCAGGTTATGGATGCATGACATGGAATAAGAATTATAAGAGGAAGTATAGTTGTTGCTATACTCTGTTGGGTCACATACTGTATATGGCTCTTTGGGTGATAAAAGTGATCAGGCACAGGATGTGTTCAGTTGTTAATCTGCTATCTTTTGGTACTTTCGTTTGTCAGCTTTAAAAGCTGCTTGGTATCTGCAGATGAAAGGTGCCATTTAAGAGTATTATAATCAAAAGCTAGTTGGCAAATTTCCCTGAGCATAGCCTCCCAGCATAATCTAACATATATAAAAAAGAAATCGAGTTTCAAAACTGGATCCAGTAGGGAGGTTCCCATAAATGCTGCCAAATTCCCTGTAGGGGTAGACTAGCAAGGATCCATGAACTTCACAGGAGCCATGTCAATAAGCAAACCCCAATGGAGAACCTGGCTGCTTGTTCTTTTGATATGAAGACAAAAGAGAAAGTTGCTGCATTTGCTGCAAAGAGAGATGTATTTCTTTTGAACCTCTCTGAGATAATCTTTGGCTGTGTAATTGAAACTAGATAATATTGATAATGGTCCCCAAATTGTTTCTGCTTGACAGAATTCCATTGAAGAAGTTCCCCTCCATGCGCAGCATCTACACAGAATATGGGACCAATGTCCAAGACCTGAATGAGTTGGGGGAAATGCTGAAATACAAATTTGGGGGCGCTGGTGTGGGCGCACCAACCCCAGAAGCTTTGAAGAACTACATGGATGTAAGTATAGTAGTTGTAGTAGTTGATTGTCACTCCTCCTAATGCTTTGACTGTTTCTTCCTTCTTGGTGACTGGGATCTGTGTGGTAGAGCAATATCCTGGAACCCTGCTATTGTCCTTGCCTGTCTCAGTGAATAAAACCATTAGGGAGAAGGTCACATTTAAAACAGACCTTGGAAATTATCCATAGTGGTATCTGTAAACACCCAGCACTCAATGTTTCAGGGTCACAACTGCACATCCTCCTCTTCATTGGGCAGGCTTGGCATGCAGAGAACTTGTGCTGTCATCCCAGAAGCATTTCAGTGTATCAGCACCATGAGAATTCTCCTCCCACTGAAGCGCTGCACTCCTTGGGGCATGGCCTCCTTCTCTAGAGAAGCCGTGTGTTTGTGGGAGATAGGGCAGGCTGATAATGACTGTTTGCCTTGTGCAAAGGTAATTGTTGAAGCAAATGGGAATGTGTAGGAGGGGTATGAGGAAAGCAAGGAAGCTTAAGACTGGATAAGATATGGAGGATGCTCCTGAGGGCTTGACGTGTAGGATCATAGCCATTATGACTCGGATGATCTTGACATTGAAGAAAGAACGCTCGCAATGAGCAAGCGAAGACTTGCTGTTCTTGGCATCCATTTGTCTCAAGAGACAGTGGAGAGCGCCTCCAGGGGTGATGTCAAACTGCTGCATTAGCATCACCAAAGTGTCATCCCCCAGGGCCCAAGCCTGGGAAATGTGTATGGAAAAACCTGAAGGCAAGACCCCCGCCCCCCCCCTCCCGTCTCGGCTTCGCTGATGTGGTCCAAAGGAAACCAATATGTCTGGCACCAGCTTCACTGTAGGAGTTGCTGGAAGGAGGTGTTTAATGCCCCATCCAGCCGTCTTGGGGTCTCCACTCCAGATTTGCATGGTGTTTACTCCTTAGCCATTTCTTCTCCCGAAGATATCCCACAAGGCAGCGGAGGTTTAGAATCTTCTCCTAGATGGGCTACCTTCCCAGGTTTATGAGCCCCTGCCCCTCACTCCCATCTACAGCACATGCAGAAGCGCCTTCTTGACCATTGGATCCACTCTTGGTCTTGCCTGCTGAATCCGCCACAGCCCGTCTTCACATGCAGGGGAAGTCCGAGCGTAGACTTAACAGTGTGATAACCATGGGCTACAGGACCGAGTATAAGGCTAGAACTAGAAGCTTCTGAGCAGAACTTAGTTTTCTGGCAATCCCCCTGGCTCCACTTGCATTCCTCTTGGAAAACCCTTCTGCTCCCCACGTCACTTCCTCCACACTTTAAAAGGATGACTCATACCTGAACAGGCTGAAACTTAATCCAGTTAACAAAGATTCACAGTAGCTGTTGGTCCAGTCTTCTTCCCTAATAGGATTTTGATGCAGACCACCCATCAGTGCTAGGATGTCATAACTTGTCGCTGAATTCTTCTTGCCATTTTATAAATCGCAGAGAAAGTGCCACCATTGAACTCTGAAAAGAGGCCACTGTAGCTTGAAATGAAATTTGCTACAGTCTCTGCAGACTGTTTCCCTCTCTGAACTTTTTTTTTTTTTTTGTAAAGTGCTGTAACAGCCATCTCTCCTCTTCCCTGCTGATTTAATGATGCCATAATGTAATACTGGCTTGCAAGCCAAGGGATAAATAAACAGAATACATTCAGAATCTGAATTGGTGAGGTAATAGTGCTTTTTTGGAGCAGGGAAGTGTGTAAGGCCAACTTGCACTTCTTAGCAGATTTTCATGATTAGGTTGGTCTAGGTGATGTGCTATGATGCCAAGTTGCATCACTAGAGAAGGAACAGAAAAGATTCCATATAAAAATGTGACGCTCAATCTTTTATTGGAATTTACATGTAAATATTTTGAGTAGTTCTTAGAACTACAGCCATACCTTGTGTTGTGTCTGCTTCCTGTTGCATCTTTTCGTGTTACATCCTGCAGCAATCTGGAAGTACTGGAACTGGTACTGGTGTGTAGAAGTGCTAAATCACGCCTGCGCAGATGCAGTACTTCAAGTTACGGGCATTTCACGTTATGGATGGGCCTCCAGAATGGATCCCATCCATAATACGAGGTACCACTGTACAGGTGGTGAACTGTTGGGTCATTTTGGCAAATGTGAGAATAAGCCCAAATGGTGCTTGGCATGGATGGCTCTACATGACGTAGAATCTTAAAGTTGGAGGAAGGAGTCTTGTAGACCATCTAGTCCAGTTTTAACACCATGTTAAAAAAGCCTGACTGGCCTCGACTAGAAGTTGAGCACTTAGTGTCACTGGTCTCTTGTTGCGAAACCATTTCGGCAAGCATCCTCACTTCTGACTTTCAAGCATCTCTTGAAGACTTTTTAATGCCAGCAGGCATTAAATTTATGACCAGAAATTTTGATTTCTGAACATGCAGTCACCTTACCGATTATCTGTATTTTCAAAAGTTAATTTATTAAAATGACATTTTATATTTTCACAATAAATGCTGTTAACATTTTATGATAAGGTGGTATAGAATTTTTTTATGATATGATGGCATAGAATTACTTCTGTAAATAACTGAATTCTAATAAGCCATCTGAATGTTGACTTCATAGTTCAAAGCTTCTGGTTGTCTTTGGGCAAAACGGAGTGTACCTCCAATACCAACACACCCAGCATTTCTCCTTAAACCACAGAGCTTTGAAGTAGAAGCCCGGGATGTTTGTGTGTTGCATTTGAAGGCATCTTCCCATTCTCCCATCAGCTGATGGATGGGTAGGAGCACACCTTGGCTTGACTGAAGGAACAGCCCGGTTCCTCCTTTGAAGTGCTGCCTGGTACAAGGCTGTTTATAAAGGGCTGTTTGAAAGCCCTGTGATTTGCTTGCTTTGAAGTCCTGAGAATCAGGGCTTCGGGGGAAGCATCACCTGATGGCAGGTGATTGGCAGGTGAGCTGTCTCACATGCCTGTCGACTGGCCTGCTGGGCTGGGTGAGATGAAGATCTGCCCATCCTATCAGAAAAGCTTCCCTATCCTTGTCTTTGAAAGTGGGCCACTGCTGCCATGGGAAGGTAGTTATATTGTGGGCTCTTTATTTAAAACCACAATACAATATACAGTAAAACCTATAAGCAGTAGGATCCAATCGTCTTATTAAAATTGTCAAATTAAAATCAAAAGACCGTAAAGATCTTTCCATATGGTCTCTTGACTTTTCCTGTCCTCGTACACATTTTCCTGAATTGAAATTAACTACATAACTTCTGCCCATCACTCCACGCTTGCTACTCCCTTTCTCTTAATTCTTGCATTCGCAGTTGGCCACAGTCAGTCACTTCCTTGACCCAATCATTGAGGCCTGTAGTAGGGTGGGGCATCAGCGTTCTGTTCATGATAGGCATTCTAAATATGGGTGGATGGCTTTCGTTTTTCTTTCAGAAGTACCAAACACCTGCAGGTAGACTTGCAGAGGGTTTTTGCCACAGTACTTGCAGAAATCCAGGCTAAACATCCTAAAGGGACATGCTTGTGTCTGGAGAGAGTTGTGACAGATGGGGAAGTTAGGTGACTGGCCAGTATAGCAGCTGAAGCCTGAGAGTTTGGGGGCTGCTTCTCCAGCTTGAGGTGCAGCCTGGGCTTGCTGTGCTCTGAATTGTGTGTGCCTTGTCTCTTGGGAAAGCAAGTATCTTGGCTTCTCTCCCCCACTCCCTGCCCCAGGCTCTTGTCAGCCATCCAGTTTTCCCCTGTGACTTGTCCTCTTTGTTTGCCAATCCCAAGGGAGTTCTACAAGCAGGGGGACAGAAGTGTTTAATCAAGCTCTACCTCTAATGTTGAAATGTGCAAGCTGAATGTTGTGCAATACATGGCTGCTCCGAAACCATTTTTTCCCTATTTGAAGAAGGCTTTGTCTCATGCCATTTTAAAAAAACACACTGAATTTCCACATTTGGAGTTAATACAAATAGAACCTATCAGATTGCATGTATTTGCAGCAGACCAGAGAGAAACACGGATTGGAATCTTTTCCCATGACATACTTGACTTCAAGTGGCAGATGGTGCTGTTTAAACACTTGAGCCCATACCTGTGTCCTGAAATACTTGCAGTCTTAAGAGTGCTGGATCATGTGCTTCTCTGAATGTGTAGATCAGCCCTCCAAACTAATGAGAGTTGAAGGCCATCTAGAATGTTTTTACCGGGTATTAGAAAAAGAAGAAAATAGTGCTGGACTGCATTGCCATTTTATTCTTGCCAGGTTGCAAATGGCAAACACGTGCTCTGCAAGTGGCAGCCCCTGTGTACTCCTTTTGTCAGGCTACTACTGCACTGACCTAGAGCAGGGTCTGTATTCTCTCTCAGCTGCTACAAGGCCACACTAAAACCTTCCATAACCCAGGGTACTAAAAGAAATTACCAAATATATGCCTTTCTTCCCCCCATCCTATAATTAACAGTTTACATAAAATTTGTATCAGCATGCAGCTGGTAGTAATATACTTTTAATGTCGAGTTTTGTGCATGGAAATGCAGCTGGCTGCTCTTCAGGGGTGTGAAACTACTCGAGACCCTCAAGCAGTCATACCTTTCCTCATTTCCATTGCCTGCCATGTAGAAATAACACATGGGTTTGGGGCAATGGTAGTGGATCACTATGTGCCTCTATGCCTCAAGAGTAGGATCTGTAACTTCCTCCAGACTGCAGGTCACTGGAGCAGTTGAAGATATTGGGCGATGGACCAGAGAGGAGAGCAGGCATCACAAACCTGATTGTCCTTATTTCCCTTGGAGAAAGGCAATCAATAGATATTCTGCTTGCTTTGCTTCCTTTATACTTCACCCTTCCAAGAACATATACCAGGGACTTTCTCTGCTAAATTTCTCCCTGTATATTCAGAAAATGATAATTATCTAGAAACTTTCAAGGAATGTCCCAAGTTTTTTTTTAATGCTAGGCTTTTTGGTTTGTTACGCTGCATGAGAAATGTATATTTTTTTGCAGGAAATTACAAATGCCTTTCTTAAAGTGTTTCTGTTACCAGAAGCACTCAAATTTGTAGCAGCTGTAATTGGCAACCAATCATCAAACAATTCTATTTATATCCCCGCAACAGTAAGTGTTGCTGAATTTAACGGGTAGATGGTAGGCATTCTCCCAAACACTGGGTCTAAACTGCAAGCTTCAAAACTAGTGGCTTGGAGAAAAGTGATGGGAGAAAATAGATTGCTCCCAGGTATATGCAGAAAAAAACCTTTCATTTTTGGGACAAGCAGAATATATTAAATGGTTCTTTTTGTGCCTTATCTCCTGTTTTGTGAAGAATGGCAAATGAGATCTTAAGCACTGTAAAAGTTTGATTGCGCTACCAGTGATTTTTTTTTACTTTTTTAAATGAACAAAAAGTGACAACAAGGCTTCACCCTCCTGCCTCTGATGTGTTCTGGGTATTTCGCATAGGCTGGATTGGGGCTAGCTTTGGAATAGTGCTACATCTAAGACTTGCTCCCCCCCCCCTTCCTACCATCCTGCAATGCTCCCCATTTGTCTTGTTCCATGAGGAGATAAGAATATGGGGGTTCATGGTTGTGGTACAAAAACCCAGCTAGTTTCAGTTAGCTTTACAGTGGTGCCCCGCAAGACGAATGCCTCGCAAGACGGAAAAACCGCTAGACGAAAGGGTTTTCCGTTTTGAAGTTGCTTCGCAGGACGAATTCCCCTATGGGCTTGCTTCGCAAGACGAAAATACCTTGCGAGTCTTGAGATTTTTTTTTCGCTTTCCCCCCCCTTTATCTAATCTGCTAAGCCTTTAATAGCCTTTAATAGCCTTTTAGCAGCTAATCCCCTAAGCCTTTAAGCCTTTAATAGCCGCTAAACAGCTGATAGCGCTAATAGCGCTAATCCGTCAATGGGCTTGCTTCGCAAGACGAAAAAACCGCTAGACGAAGACTCTTGCGGAACGGATTAATTTCGTCTTGCGAGGCACCACTGTATCTACAAAAGGGCTGTGCATCTATTTTGAAGTCTAGTCATGAGACAGATAAACTGTAACAGAGCTCCTGACATGATAATTGTGCAAATAATAGCTTACTGATGAGCTCTCTCTTGTGACACACACACATAGTCCAGAAGCTTATAAATCCTTTTGCCATGAAAGAATGTTTTCCCCATGTATACAACTGGATTTGCTAACTCATTTGCCCGGTTAAGTAGCCTTCCAATGGAACTGCAGACCTGAACAACTCTTTTTATCAAGAGTATCCCATGGAGGGATGCCAGAAAAATGCTTTGATGAAGCTTGAGCATGCGCAGTGGGCATGGAATGCTGACTGCCTGTTGGGAGGGGGAACGGGGTGGTTGGAATCCTGAATGGAATTGTTCTACACCACATTTTCTTGCAGGTCCCACTTGTGTTCTTAGGGAAAGCTTTAATTCTTCTGGGCACATTTCAGATCCTGTTGGAGCATACAGTTTTGGGTGTTGCTCTGCTAGAATTACATATCTGGAAGATTCTCTCTCCCTCCCTTCCCCTTTTTTTAAATGAATGTTGCAAGCAAGGGGATTGTTTACATAGGTTGATATTTGAGCTTAATATGGGAAGCAGTGTTGACTTCTCATTTGGGTACTGTAAAAGACTTCTTCAAAATTACAGCCCAGTCCTAATTTAGATTGCATTTAGCCTCTAGGGTGGGGCACACCCATGGCTATGCTGATCCACCATTACAAAGTGAGGCTGCTTTGGACTAGTTGGCTGCTACACCAGAACAAGGCAGCACACTAATCCAATGTGGGATCTGCCAGATGTTTTGAACTACAACTCCCATCAGCCCTCGCACATTTGGAGTAGTCTAAAACATGTGGAAGGCAGCAGGTTGGGGAAGTCTGGTAGATAGAGATCTGGATGAATTTGACAAGTCCAATATAGAAGTGGTTGGCTTCAGCTAGTTCTTCTTTCTTTCTTCTACAAAAAAAACCCCAAACCTCAGCTTGATGCTGTTGTTTCCAACATCAGCTGGTCAGTCTTGTCCCTCTTTCACCCCATTGAATCTTTGTTATATCCTCCTATTTTGCAACACCTTTCCTTCTGAAAATGGCAAAAGTGGAAGGAAAAGTTGCTTCATGACTGTTGTAAGCTTGTTACTGTCAGTTGTTTTTTTAAAAAACTACTGCTGCTGTTGGCAAATAGCAAACTTGGGCAATCTTCTCGAAGTGGACTGGAAGCTCTCTGAAACACCCAGACCACTCCGCACTCATTCACACAGGCAAAATTATGTATTCCCGGTGCTTTTATAGCTATGCCTAGTCAAGCTTCTCACAATGGAGCATCCTGTAAAGGAAGCTGCTTTCCCTTGCATCAAACTATTGTCCATCTACCTCACTATTGTCTGTACTGGCTAGCAGAGGCTCTCCAGAGTTTTCAGACCTACTACTTGGCTACGTTGGAGCCTGAACCTGGATACTTTCCCTTTATAAAACGTAAAGGTGCAAGGTTTTGCCTGGGATGTGAATCCAGCACCTCTTGCACCCAAAGCAAAAGGAACCCAACGCCACTAGACACATTCCGTGGATACAAAAAATGACAGGTCCATGGGTGCTACTGTTGTTTACGGCCGATAGGGTGTTCACCCTTCCTTCCTTAAGGTTGCAAAGGTGGTCAAGGTTGTACTTGTGACAGCTTTCTAAAGTGGTCAGAATTAAAGTTGGAAACAGTCACTCTGTCAGTTTTCTGGCTTGAAGTGCAGGTGGAGATCATTCTTCTGTATATTTCCGAGAGGAACTCCCTGTTAGCCTAAGGCCTAGCCCTCCTAGCCAAGTTGCTGCCACTCCTCTAAACAGCACCTCATTTGCAATTTGCAAGAACAAGACACTTCTGAGTCAGCTTTCCAATTAATATCACTTAGATTAAGGCTGCCCCCCACCAACCCAATCTGTTTAGGTGTTGTAACAGCTTCATACCTGTCTTGGCTTTATTCCATCTTTCTTTAGAAGCAGTCCCGATGGTGGCTGTTACGCAATGGCCTGTCTATATTAGGAAGGGAGAAGTGAAGTGAATTTCTTATCTTTAATTGCTGGACTCAAGTGAGCCACCCAAATATGAAATCCTTCACTTGATGTATGTCTTAACTCTTGCCCTTGCTGGCAAAGGGATAGCTCAGGTGGTAGAGCATGAGACTCTAAATCTCAGGGTTGTGGACACTGGACAAAAGAGAAGCTTGAGCTAGATGAGTCTTATGGTCCCTTCCAACTCTACAATTCTAGTTGTATAATGCATGGATGACCACACACACAAGCCTCGCAGGTGCAACTATTAGGGGTTGCAGTGCAGAACAGAGGCAGGATGGACTAGGTGCATATGTGGTGGTGGCATCAGGTAAATGCTCAGTAGAGACACCAATGCTAGGGAATTATATATAGCAGGCATGGTGTTTCTCTGTGTGTTTTATATATAGTGGCAGCCCTATGTCTGCAGCAGACAGCTTAGAAACAGCCTTAACAGACTGTGATCAATGCAGCTCATGGTCCCCTTTTTATAGTTTGCTTTCAAAAGTGGTAGGGAGGCGAAGAGAAACTATGTTTTTGCCAGCCTTCAGTCAATTATTGCTCATCCCAGATTGAAGATCCCAATCCATATATTGCTGTGGATTGCAGCAGTCTCCTGGCAGGTATACCTGAAGAGGGGTATAAGCAACCAGTAGCTCCACATCAGCAGTTTTCAACACATTCAAATGTAAATGAGTAGGAAAAAATGCTTGTGGTTCTCAAGATGAAAAAATAAGTGCACTGTTCCTACTCATGCCAGGAAAACACTTGGCAAAGTTCACAAACCTGTTCTGGAGCCAAAAAAAAAATGCCATGTGCGTTGGGTTGCCACCCTTTCTTCTTTCTCCAGGCAGAACTTCTGTAATAGCTGTTGGATCAGCAAAAATGGGAAGAGGCGCAGCTTTCCCCACTGCTGAGGTGCAGCAATTGCCAGCGGATGGGAACAGCAAGCTGTACCTAATCAGTTTAGGAGGAATCATGCTCCAATAAGTTTTTGTGTGTTTTTTAAAGTCAGGAAAGTCAGGTTTATTATCCGTTGCACACTATGGCTATGACAGCTGAGGAGGGAGGAAACATCCAAAGCATTCTTCCATTAAGTGCAAATTTCAGCAGGCTACAGGATATTGATTGTGGTAGATGAAGAGCTCTTTGCAACTGGAAAGTCCTCTCCCCCTCCCTTTCCTCCCCTTTCTGTGGTCAGTACATGCACTGGAAGCAAAAGGCGTAAAGACCTACTTAATCCTTGTTGGTTCAGCATGTACGCTACTTTTGCACTCACTGGTGCTTATGCTGGAGCAGAAAGGGAACGCATTTGTGTCTCATTGAGCCATTGAGTCAAATGCTGACTGTATGGTTTGCTAGGATGTCTTTGGAAACCTAAGAGAGTCTCCCTCCCCCCCTCTTGTTTAAAAGTTGGAGGAGTCTGGAATATATTCCCTGCCATAGTAGCTGCAGCCCTAGAGAGGGATGAGGAGCAAGTACCCTCCATTTACTCAGTGTGTTAGAGGAGAAAGGCTTAGCTAAGGCGGTGTGTGTGGACCTTTGTTACAAAATGTTCTCCCTTTAACACATAGCAAAAATGGGTGTGGGGAAACCTTGGGGAGGGGTAGTGTGCAAGTTCTGTGCCCTCTCATAGGATAGGTGCTATATCATTTTTAGTTCTGCCCTGCCACTTGTTGGACCGTATTAAACAGTAGGACCCATCTGGCTGCTGTTAGCACAAACCCATTGTGTCATTGCTCTAGTTGCTGCTTGCAGAATTCCCACTCAGTGTTTCAGGGTGGGGAGGGAGGGAGTTACTGCTTGTCTTCCAGCAGCAGTGGCTCACTTCCAGAGTCCTTCCTGTGTCTCTTCCCCCTCCCCCAAAATAGGTGTGTGTGTTTCACAACAGTGTAGGTCCTAATGGAGGAATCTGCAAAATGATGCTAGTAAATGGATACGTAGCAATTCCTTCCCATCACGTACATGTCCTGGTAAGTGACCATCCTAAGCATAAGCAGCTTCACATGCTTAGGCAGGATGGGGAATCTTTCTCGAGATGCTGGGAGGACTTACACATTGCATCATCCTTGGCTAGGGCTGATGGGAGTTGGAGCCCAGCAATGTCTTGAGGGTTGCAGGTTCCCCATGCCTCGATGGAATGCAATTCAGTTTTACTCAGAGTAAAACCATTGAAGTTAATTAAATGTGGCAAGTTAGGTCCATTAATTTCAGTAGGTCTACTCTGACCAAAACTTAGTTGAACTCGGCTCCCTCTTTCTAGACGGCTTAATTCCTCCCATCTGGAATGTGAGCCTCTTCCTGGTTCAAGTACTTAAACTACCCTTCTGATTTGAGTGCAAAGGCTGCCAGGCTCCTGCCTGAATGGTGGTTCCTTCATAGTATAGCAACTATTCCAGGAAGCACAGGTGAGCAATACATAGGATTTATTGCATTGCAACAAAAATTCTGCATACTTAAAAAAAAATGTGTAGAGACCATGTGGCACCTCAACTTTAGCTTTAGGAGCATGGACAAGAATGGAATATAATGATTTCTAAATACTGACCCAGGACTTTATTCCTCCGTGTGTGTGTGAGAATTTGTACAGATAAACGTTGCATAAAACACTGGCCTTTGTAAACAAAAGTTGCTTAAGTACAAAATGAATATCAAGGCAGCAGTCCTGGTTAATTACAAGGTGATTTACAGCCTCTAATTCTCCGCTGTGCTTTAAGAGTAATAGCCAATATCTTTGGCTTATATGAAGTGCTATATAGGTACTAGGTTAGAAAACACACCCTGCCCTAATACAATAATGGTTTTAATGTGAGATGCCAGGGAGGAGATGGCAGTATAATTTCCTTTAATCTCCATGGGCTGTAGGCACAAAATGCAGGTAACATTTTTGTGCCCAAGTAGCTTGACCAGAGGAATGAAAAGCATCTCCCACCCTGAATGGTGGAGCTGTTGGCCGTGTCATTAGCTGTTGCCTTGGGAGCTCCTCTCATCCACCAGTTTTTGTGCACTTGTGCCCCAGGAACTCTGAGTAGGCAAGCACATGTGCTGGTAAGCAGTATGAAGATACTGGCTGAGCCAAGTGAAGTTTAAATATTGTCACCAAAACATGGACATTTGAATCTACCTTTGTAAGGCGGTAACTCCCAAACATTGAGGATGAAATTGGGTACACCTTCTGTCACCCACCCACACACACTAAAGGGAGTTAGACATTCTGTTGCAATATATGACTGGAAGTTTTGCTGAGAGATTTGCATATAAGTTTGGGACATGTTTGGGATACAAAACTCTGTTTTAAATTCAAGCACACTTTCCCAAGGGAACCAGGGAAGAGGAATGATGACATCATGGAGCCATCGCATATGAGCATTTGCTAGATTTTTGGATGTTGGGAATGAACTTGCAGTAAAGAGTTGGCTTAGCCCATGTTCAAATAGAGCATTTTAGTACTTCCACATAAGTGAATGGTAGCAATTCATTCTTAGGGTTGGAGTGAAATCTCTTGGCTCTGAGTGGCTAAGGCCTTACTCTTGGGAATAATAGAGAGGCATAATGCATCTCTGTGCTCCGAACACACTGGCAATTAAACATTGCCATGTTTAAGCCAAGGATGAGCAGTCTGTGGCTCTCTTTATTCTGCTGGACTCTAACTCTTCCATCCAGCATGGCCAATGGTTGGGTATGATGGTGGAAGTTGTAATCCAACAACCTCTGGAGGGCCACAGGTTCCTCATCTAAGCCCCACATGTGATATCAATCATAATGACAAAGTGTAGGCAAAGTGTAGTTTATAATAATTACAGTGGTACTTTGGTTCTCAAACTTAATCAGTTGCGGAAGTCCGTTCCAAAACCAAAGCGTTCCAAAACCAAGGTGCGCTTTACCACAGAAAGGAATGCAAAATGGATTAATTTGTTCCAGACTTTTAAAAACAACCCCTAAAACAGCAATTTAACATGAATTTTACTATCTAATGAGACAATTGATCCATAAAATGAAAACAATAAACAATGTACTGCAGTCACACAATCAATCAATCAATCAGTAGCTGAACTGGGTTCCACACAGTCACGGAAATGAAACAAAACAAAAAAGCCACGAAAACACAAAAAATATACAGCAAAAACATGCAAGCTGGTGACCCTTGCAACATCTTTTGGAAGCAAATGAGACTTGCATCTAGAGTTTCCTCATCTTGATACAGCCAACTCCCCCTTCTTTTTATTTATTTACTTTGCATCTTCTTCCTTTCCTCTAAGGGTCTAAATGCAACCTTCATTGTCTCCATCCCTCCTGCCCCATTTTTTTCCTCACAAGAAAACCTGTAAGGTAGTTCAGGCTGAGAGAGAGTGACTCGCTCACAGACACCCAAGGAAGCTTCATATCTTAGTGGGAATTTGTACCTGGGTCTCCTTACTCCTGGTCTGACACTCTGATCATTATTCCTCCCTGGTGCACACTCTTGCTCCCTCTCTCTATATGCAGTTTGATATGGGCGTGGGGTAGTTACGTAAGTTTGGTGGCTTCTTTTGCGGTAGCCACTGACTTATCTCAATCCTATAAATAACACTGTGGTAAGAATGATCCCTTAGTAGTAATCCTCCATACTGTGGGGTAATGAGCGTTGTATTTGGCAATCCAGTACCATGAAAGTGATGCTTATTTTATTTCTTTGCAAACCTGGTGCTAGCCTAGAATGATCAGCTTCTTACCTTTTGTTCTCTCATCTCAACTTTCATTTTGCAGGCTCAGTATTATGGAGAGATTGGCATTGGGACACCCCCACAGAAGTTTACTGTGGTCTTCGACACTGGCTCTTCCAACCTCTGGGTGCCTTCTGTCAAGTGCCACTTGTTGGACATTGCTTGCTGTAAGTATCTCTTCAGTTGACTGACTTAAGTAGCACCATCCATTAATCCTCTATAGTGTATTTATGTGATAAAGCCTAAGCCAAGCTCTTACTTTGCATGAAAATGACTAACTTTTAAAAAAAGAATTTTATTTGCCATATCATTGATTGTGTCCTGTGCTTCATTTTGAGAAGCCAGGTACTTCCTGTCCACTATTTTTTAATATTGCTTCCAACTTGACTCCCCACTCCTTGCTGCTTTTTAAGAATACTTTGATTCAACTGACCATTGCTTGAGAGGCAAAGAAGTGTACTTCTCTCTCCTGGGATGCATGCTCCTCAGCACGTTGGAAACTGGTCAGCCAGATCTATCTGTCACTGTTCTTATATTATTGAGGCATATAACCTTGCACAAGGAATATGAAGCAATTTGAAATTTAAATATAACCTTTAGTTCTGAATAACATTTGGCCATTTAGAACAGGAGTGGATAACCTGCTCCTGGGCTCCAGCTCCCGTTGGCCCCAGCCAACATGGACCCTGTGGTCAGGGACAATGGGACTTATAGTCCAGCAGCATCTGGAGAGCCAGCACTGATTTACAACTTATGCTGTCAACTGTGTTTCACACTCTTTCTCAGAGGATCTGTCAGAGCACTTAAACCAGCGGTTCTCAACCTGTGGTCCCCAGATGTTGGACTACAACTCCCATCATCCCTGAGCTCTGGCCTTTCTAGCTAGGGGTGATGGGAGTTGTAGTTCAACAACATCTGGGGGCCCACAGGTTGAGAAAGGCTGACTTAAACAGAGTTGGTGGCTGATCATTCCACCTTTTTTACCTCTGAGCGCCTAAAGTGATGATAAAATATACTCCATCTCTTAACTAATTTAAAGAGTCTCCCCTGACTATTGAATTAAATGCAGCTGTTTCTGCTTGTGATGAGACCCTTGTGCACATTGGTAGAGATCACGGGGACCACATCTTCTGAACGTACCTGTGCGCAGCAACTCCGCTGGCTGAAACTGATGGGAGTTTTAAAGCATCCCTGACCACTGGCCATGCTGGGGAGGGCTGGTGGGAGTTTTATTCCAGCAGTAGTTGCAGGGCTGCTTGTTAGCAACCCTTGCTTTAGGTGGAAAACGGATAATGACTTTATTAAAGGTGGTTTGAAAGAGGGTGTTCTACTTTTGTTATGCACACCTAGCTGGTTTTGCAAGCTTTTATTCTGTAAAGCCTGTTTGACTAGAAATGCATAGGACAAAAAAAGAAGAAGCGTGCCTCATAGGAAATGAAGAAGCCCCTCAAACTACTTTCAGCCCTCTTGAAAAGTGTGTAAGCTCAGCACGTGTACCCGGGTTTTTCATGTCTTGGGAATCCTCAAGAATTAAACCTGCCAGGTATACTTGAATCCCAAAATATACTTTCCAAATCCAATTTAGCAGCCAAATTGGATCTCTCCACTTAATTCTCCATGTGTTCGAAGAGCTTTAGAAAGCACTTTGTGCTAATGCTTTCAGGTAAAGAGATGCATGTTGGCAGTCATTCTACCCTATTCTGGAAGTCCCTTTAGTTCAAGAGGAATGAAAAAGTATTCTTTCCAGCAGATGGGACTTGAAACAGGCAGAGTTAGTTGTGCTACAACCATGCCAGATCTAGTTAAGATTTGGTAAAGACCACCTTTCTCCGGAAGCCCCGGTGGACTACAATTTAACTGTAGTTGCTTTCCTAAACATCCCTGATACCATTGTGGGCATGGCATAAAAAGTTCAATTTATAGAGGAAGACTAGGTTCATATGCCGTCTAGATGTCTTCACTGCTTCTCCACTTAAGATGTTCAGGAGGCACTATAGCTGTGATTATTAAGTAACCATGGCCTCCGTTTATAAAATGAGTCCAGTCCATCAGTCCCTAAGTTTGCACATAATCAGGGTTAGCAGTAACCTTGCTATTTGCTATTATTCAGTATTTCACTCTAGCCCTTCAGAACAATTTGGCTGGCTTAGAAATTTGTTGTTTTGAAATGAAACCTATAATTGTCCATATTATGGGTTGTTGGCTGATAAGTGGGTACTGTCTATGTCTGTCCTGGGTTTTTTTCTTCCAGAATAAATACTACATCAAGTGCATCTCTTAGGTCAGGTCTGCATCAAAGCACAATTGCCTTTTGCTTGTTTCTTGAGTGTATTTACATACAGGAATAAAGAAAACTGAACGTAATGAAAAAAAATTGTTGTTTTCCCTCCATTTAATTAAATGCTGCAAAACTGGTTCCTAACACTAATTAAAAAGCTGTGAGAAAGGAGTTATGGATTGGCTTATAGTTTCTGTTTGATCTGGAACACGGGGTTGGTGTCTCCTCAAATATTTGTCAAGTGTTCCAAGTTGGTAGACTGTGTGTGGATTTATGTGGATTTATGTATATGTGTGTGTTGTGTTATTTTCCCCCTGCAGTGCTGCATCACAAATACGATTCTTCCAAGTCCAGCTCGTATGTGAAAAATGGTACAGACTTTGCCATCCATTATGGTACTGGGAGCCTGTCAGGATTCCTCAGCCAAGATCATGTAACGGTTAGTACATCACCAATCATTCACTTCTCCAAGCTGTTAAAGCTTTGAGTCTTTAGCAAAACAACAACAGCCTACCACCATATGAGAGTACTAAAATATCGTAGTGTGATAGGAACTCCTGGGGATAGTACCAAAAGTTTGTGAGGCATATGGGATGTGCTTTTCGCAAAACATAGATCGCCTAGCCAGTGATCAGCTTTCATGTGGAGCACTGTGGGTTTGTTTTGCTGCTTCAGAAAGTAAATGACAGCATTGTGGTAATTTTTTATTTTTTTAAAAAAAGACAAGGTAGGAGAAGTTAGTTTCAAATTTATTGTCCTGTAGCTGCACATTAAAACAGCTTTTCTCGTGGTGTGCCATGAAAGGCCCCAGAAGCTCTCTTTGCCAGTCCTTTCTATGAGCCTACCATCTTTAGTGACCAGTTTTAAAGCAACATGTGTATGGAAAAAATTGCCTTGGTTTGTTCGTAATCCTCCTCAAGTAAACTACAGCTGCTGTGGCCTTAAGGGAGCCTGTACTTGTCCAGGTTAAGTTGATGGAAGTTGCTAGACTAGGGTGATACAATTATTTTAAGCAGCATTTAGCACCAAGCACTGAAACTTAGTTTCTGAAAAAGCTTCAGCCATTGTGTCTCGTTATAAGGAAAGGGGAGCAAGGGAGACTTAACTATGATATGCATGTAATCACTGGCTGATGAAGCAACTTTTACAGGGCAAAGTTGTCTTGTCCCTTTTTATTCTTAGGAGCGTTTGCTAACAGAGCAGAAAAAATCAGAATAATCATAATCATATACTAAGTTTTTGTCCTGCCCTTCCCCCCAAAGGCAATTAGGGTGGCAAACCATAAAGCAATATAACAGCACAATTAAAAAATAAAGCAAGGAAAAACTTTGAGAGCATCTAAAACCATATTAAAAATGGCCACATGTTCTCACATCTAATAATTTCAAGGTTGCTAGGAACAGTATCTTTCAACCATCAAATGCCTGGGTGAGCAGGGATGTTTTTAAAATTCCTCCTGAATGTTAATAGTGAGGAAGACAAGCAAGAGATTAGAAAGAACAATTCTGACATACCAAACAAAATCTTTGCCAAGTCTCACAATTTCATCATATCTGGTCATAAATTGAGTGGCGAAGAAACAGTCTAGATGAATTCGTGTGAAGCCCTGGATGGTATTTCTTTCTCCTTCCCACACCCTGTGCCGCCTTTGGTCAGATTCACCTGGCTTTGCTCACTTTTGTTGCTCTGTGGCAAGGAAAGGCAGGAGCAGAAAAAAGCAGAGCTGTTGCCACAGTGACTCCCAAGGTTTTAAAATTGCTGCCTGGGGGAAGTTCAGAGCTTAACATCTCTGCGATTTCAGAGAGGTGATAAAACTTCCTCTTTTCAGCAAGCATTTAGTTCCTATATTCTGTGTTTGTGGGTTTTTGTTACACTCGCTTTTGTTGTTGCTCACAGCCTTGAGCTTTAGAAAAGCAGTTTAATCACTTAAAAATTGCAAAATGAATACAATAGCAAAATGATAATGGAAGTTGCATGGCTTCTAAGAAGGCAACTGCATGCTCCTTATCAGCTTTTATGTTTTTCAAGATTGCTCTGTTTGTTCCATGTGCCTTTATATGGCATGTATTGAGAAGGGAGAGATCCTGGCACCACTTGAGCATGTTTTTATCTTACTACCAGAAGAATGATACCATATTTGTTCCAATAATGGTGTAAATGTGTATGTTTTGGGTTCTCCCAACCTTCCTTTCTCTTTCTCCCAGATTGGTGACCTGATTGTCCAGAATCAGTTGTTTGGTGAAGCTGTCAAGCAGCCTGGCATCACTTTCATTGCTGCAAAGTTTGATGGCATCCTTGGCCTGGCATACCCTAAGATCTCCGTGGATAAAGTGTTGCCTTTCTTTGACAATGCAATGCAACAGGCGCTAATGGAGAAGAACCTGTTTTCCTTTTATCTAAACAGGTGAGAATGTAACCTTGATTTAACTTGTGTGCCAAGGACCAAAGGGAAAGGCCTTTCCATCCCCAAAAGAAACGTCTTAATTATTTTATATGTGTGGTGGTGGTGCCTACATTTGCTGCGTAAAGATACAGCCCTTTTAAGAAGATGGAAAGATTATGTGTGGCATCCATTAGGAGAAGAGGGAATAGCAGGGTGTGATGGACAGGGGAAGAAGTTCCTGTTTGTCATTTAGAAATGTCCTTTGACTCATTTCTGTCTTGTGACTCACACCCAAGTCTTTATTCTTTAAAAAAAAAAAACACACACAACACAACACAACACAACACAATACAATACAATACAATACAATATATGCACAAAAAATCAGTGCATAACATTGATTACTATATTGTACAAATCACCTGATCATGAATAAATAAAGAGTCCTGCAGCATCATATAAGAAATGCTCCATTGTTACTGGGTATGGGCCAAGGGTTTCCCCAGCAGAGTATGCCCACAACTGTGAAAGGGCTCAGGGAACCAGCAAATGAGCACGACACAGGTGCAGGCTCCAAATGGTCTGAAGGCTTGCAGTGCAGCCCTATGGGAAACCATACACAGACCAGTATTGAGCTCTTTTTATAGACCACCATGGTGTGCGTGATAAAGGATTGCCACCCGATCTGGTGCACGTGTTACTTGGGGAGATATCTCTTGAGTTCGGTTTGGGCTTTCTCACTGGTAGGACTGCTGAGGATAGCAGAGCTGTAGAAAGCCAGACTTAAAGAAATATGCCAAGTACACAAAGGATGGCATTGCTTCCCTTGGATTCTGGGGACCTTTTCCCTGCCCTGCATCACTTCTGTATCCTTGTCCTTACGTGTTTTTTCCACTTTACATTTCCACAGTTCATTGAGTGTATTGTTCTGAAGCTATGGATCTCCCTCCGTTTTTGTACTAACATTTCCCTTCTCCACTTGTGTGCTGCCTCTTCTAGGGATCCGAAAGCAGCCACTGGAGGTGAATTGCTTTTCGGTGGGGTGGACCCACAATATTATACTGGGGACTTCGCCTGGGTGAACGTCACTCGCAAAGCTTACTGGCAGATCCACATGGACAAGTGAGTTGCTTCTCTCATTTGTTTCACAGGTGCACAAGGGGGTCCATAGTTTATTAGCATATAGATTGCCTGCAATAAAGCATTGTTCTATATCCCCAATGGGAGCTGTGTAACACCATGTAGGGCTTGCAGTAAGCGAAGACTCCCGGGGGGGGACCCCACTCTCCTAAAATCTTCCATGCTGTGCCATGTAGCACAGAAGGAGTTCAGTCCCCAATGCTGAGGATATTGCTACAGCCAACTGCACAAAGGTGGGTAGAATTGAATTCTTTTTTTAAAAAAAAAACACATCTGGGAATTGTTGTCTTCTTCCAGGGTTGACGTTGGCAATGGCCTGACTGTGTGCAAAGATGGCTGTGAAGCTATTGTAGACACAGGGACCTCCCTCATTACAGGCCCAACAGATGAAATTAAGCAACTGCAGAAAGCCATTGGAGCTAAGCCAATCATTAAAGGACAGGTAATGTGGGAATGAGGTGGTGGGTCTAATGTTGGGACATCCATATGTGCAGCCTGACTACTGTCTCTCTCAGGGCTGGCTAGCCTGGGACCCTGCAGATGTTAGGCTCTGGCTCTACTCAACTCCACACATTGAGCACACTGGCTGGGGCTGATGAGATTTGGGAGTCCAACATCTGAAGGGTCACAGGTTCTCTAGCACTGCTTTCTATATATTGGTTTTGGTCTCAACTGGGTTCAGATACAGCCAATAGCTTGGATTGCTACCTCAAAAGCAGCTTGGTTACTAGTTCAAAGCGGTTCAAATGTTGGGTAACCTTTATGTTACAGTACTGCAGCTTTCCCCCCACAACCAGACCTGCTTAGGAAGAATTGGCCATAATAAGTTCTATACACCCTTCCTTCCACCTCAGAGGATTTTCAGGTCCATACTCCAGTCTGGTTTATACAGCATGCAGGACTTCTTACAGTGTCAACATCCCACATGTTGCACTTCGCATTGGCGCTTGTGTGTAATGTTAGCATGCCTGTGATCAGCAGCCTCTGTAGGTGCGCTAACGACATCCTGTCATTACATGCAAACAGACCAATGGCTGAGGGAAGAATGCTTAAAATGTGGCTCAAGTGAGGGCTGAACCCCTTACACTCAAAGGGCTTATTTGTAGCCCGCATGCTGTGTAAGCTGGGACTAAGAGAACTCCCTCAGCCAATAGTATAGGAGGAGAAATTCTGCTACGTTCAGCTTCAGCACTTTGAGAATTGCTATATAATGATAAATTTCCTGTCTGTGTAGTTCTTAAAAGGTACAGCAAGGGAGGTCCACTCAAGATATGGATCTTCCATCTCTTTAACTGCCCAGATATATGGCTTTTTTTGTGGGAAAGGCATCAGAATGTGGCTCTAATGAAGTGTGAGAGGTAGTAGTAGTAGTAATGTTTGGGATTTTTATAGAGAACTTAATGTTCACTGTAATCCTAGCAATGAGCAGTGTCTCAGTGCTGCCCCTGTACTGCAGCTGAGGACAAGATGTTTGTTGCCAGCAGGAAAAATCCAAGGGGTGCCCCTGTTCTAGGAAGAAGAAGAATAGCCTAAACAAGTCCCTTTTAGGGAGGAGTGTAGAGTGTAGGAGTCACTAGCTAGTTCTTGTCTACACACCTTCAGGAGTCAAAATTCATAGCTCTACAACAAGGTTCTTATACTTCCAATTTATTTTTATTTTTCAGTACATGCTTCCGTGTGATAAGCTGTCTTCCCTTCCCACTGTGAACTTGGTCCTGGGAGGGAAATCCTATGCCCTCACTCCAGATCAATATGCCTTGAAGGTAAGCTCAAAACTATTTATGAGATCATCCTAAGAATGCTCACCAACCTATCCTAGACGCAGCAGTTTTGGGTCCCCTGGATGCTTTTTATTGATGTTCATCCAGCATCTAGTAATAGATTTGTTATATCTGCACTGGATCCTGTGCACTTCAGGGAAATAGCTAGGACTCTTAAAAGCACAATGGACTCTGCTTTTGTGTCTTTTTACATGGTAGTTAGTTAAACCTTAAGACTGAGTTCTCTCATTGCATACCAATTACTTAAGTGAAGGATTAGTGAGCAGATTCTTTTTGGGGAGGAGCAGGAAGAGGACTGAAAACTAATAAATATTGTGGGGGACAATAAATGCTGCTTAAGTGGTCAATGCACATCTATAAAACATTGTTTGACCACAGCTTTTCTACAAGGATATGTTTGGGCTTTTATATATGCTTTTATTTTTATATATATATATATATATATATATATATATATATATATATATATATATATATATATATATATTGAAGAGGGATTGTATGCATGATCTTCTTCAACAACTGGTGGCTCTTTAGGTGCTCCTGAACACTAAACTGCAAAAGGAAGCAAACAAGGTGCAACTATAGAGAAGACTAATATGCTCTCGCTCGTTCACTCTCTTGTTTTTAAAAAAACCCACACCTTCTTTTCTCTCCCTGTAGGTTACTGTTCAAGGAGAAACTCTTTGCTTGAGTGGATTTTCAGGCTTGGATGTCCCACCACCTGGTGGACCTCTTTGGATCCTGGGTGATGTCTTCATCGGCGGTTATTACACCGTGTTTGATCGAGATAATGATGCCGTTGGTTTTGCAAAAAGTTCCAGCAGCGCATAAATGCAGCTGACAACCACCTCCCACTCTCTCTCCAAATTCACCCACAAACACACTGGAGTTTTCTACTGTGTCTTGTAGGCGTTAGGAACAAAATCAGGAAAGTTAAAAGGAAAAAAAAATATGACACTTTAAAATTTAAATAAGAAGGAGCAGAGATCTTTTAAAAAAATAATCTGAAAAGCTACTAGTGACCATTGAACAAACACTTGTCCTTCCTCGAATGATACAGGCCATAGAAAAGTTATAATAAAAACCATACCTAAGGAGCCCCAGCATTGTATGAGCTCTTCAAACATCTGGTTACTTGACATGCTATTCCTTTTTAAGCATAAGAACTATAAATGCCATATTTAAATTAACACAGTTGCAGGGGATTGGACTAGATGAACCCTTTGGTGTTCCTACCAATCCTACAATTCTATTATTTATCCGCTCCAAAAAAGAACCCTTTATACATGCTTTTAGATTCACTTGTCTAGCTGTTCCCCATTTTTAATTTATTGATATATATATAAAGGCAACATAGAGAACAGAATCTTTCGCAGTTGTTTATGGGGGAAGTGCTAGGTAGTTGGGAAGTTACCACGGAATTTGCATTGGGCTAATGATCCCCGTAGTATTTCTTGCATTGTGGGGATGTGGGAATATAGCAAAATTGTCCTGATTTGCATTTTTTAAAGAAACGTAGCAGGTCCACATCACTTTGGGTTAGATGGGCTCCAATGAGTAGAGAGTCCTTGGGAAGTTATAACTGTGGAAATGGGTATTTCTATAAGGTATGATTGGGTTCTCCATCTCATATTTTATAAACGGACACAGTTTTGATTTTGGTCTGAGCAACCCCATTCAGGTACTGTAGTTTCACGATACATTGTTACAAGTTCTTTCTCTTGGTTTCCCACACCTTACATAATTCCCAGCTTCTTTTGCGGGTGTAAGGAAAGTGACCATGATTTTTGTGAGATCTTTCCTGCTCAAGGTTGCTTTGGAGATTCATCAACTTGTCAAATATGGCCTCTCCCCACACCCCACTATTAAATCAAGTCACAGCTACTCTGACACTCGTTTCTCAGCACAGAAAAATCCTGTAGATCTCTTGATAAAACAGGAAACCTTGGGTGTGGGGCAAGTTCAACCTGCCCTTGCAGAAAGCACGACTGATCTTCCTGCTCAACAGCTGACAGGCAGGGGTTTGAATCCTGCTTGGTCGCTCTCTCCCTCCAACCCCATGGGCCAACTTTGGCAGGTGGCCAGGATCATCCACCTGTCAAGAGTTGACCTATGGGTTGTGGGGAGATGAAGATCTGGCACGCCGAGCCAAAAAGGTTCCCCACCATTGTTACGAAACTTACTCTGCTATGAGAAGCTTGGTCTCTGCACAGATTGATTCTGGTTACCTAGACTTTTATGGAAAGTGTTTTATAAAAAGAGCTACCTCTGCATTTGCGTCTATTTTGGCCTGGCAAGCAGAAGGCATGGAGCAGCCCTTTGGGACAGGAAGGTGGAGGTAAGCTAGGTAGATGTTAGTTGAACAAACTGGAACGTCATTGTTTAGTTGGTAAATGAAGTCTTCCAGTATCTTTTTAGATAAATCTGAAATGTTCCATTGATATTTTGGAGCCCAGCCCTAAGGTTGCGAGACAGCACGGATAACACAGAACACAACTTTTAGATTAAACAAAGAGCTGTTCTGATGCAGAGCCAAGCACACTTCGCTGAAGATGCTTTATTTTAAACTAGATGAAATCTGGTTCATGAAGAGCAACACAATAGAAAAGCTGGTGAACACGGGGGAGTAAAAGGCACCAGGAATTTGAACATACATTTGTGAATAGGCTGCATGTCCTAGACTACAACCCCACCCCCACCCCCACCCTCACCCTCCTGGTTGGGTTGAATACTTTGGAATGCAGATAAGCATCAGGATATCTAGAGAAGGCTACACCTGCTTGGGATTGCTAACAAGATGCTGCCATTCAAAAACCATGGTGTGTCTGTAAGCTTGTGAAAGATGCAGAAGTATATTGGAGATGTCATTAAAACTGTAGCATCCTTCCCCAACCTGGTGCCCACCATGTTGACTGGGGCTGGTTGGAGTTGCAGTCTAAAACATCTAAAACTACCAGGTTGGGGAAGGGAGTTGTAGCATGTCCTGAGTTACGATGGGTATATTGAAATACACTTCTTTAAAATCCTTGCTTAGTTCCTCCTAACAGTCTTCAACCCTGAACTAGTAATTCAAGGTCACTGAATAGCTTCTCACTGAGTAATATCAAGTACAAATACTCTAGGAACTTTCATTTCAAACTTAAGTGCCCAAAGCTCTTCTTAAGAGAAGTTGTATAGAAAGTGTCTTAAATTTTCTTTAGGTGGTCATTCATATCAGGATAAGATTGAACACAAGTCTTTTGTCTTGAAGAGATTTTATCATGAATGCCGTATATTATATATAAAAAAGTATCTCTCGCTCATTAGCACTGAGTGGGCTGATTGGCCGGTAATGGTATATGTTTCAGTCTCTTGGAGGCAACTGCTAACAGCAGCCTAACCACCACCACCACCCCTTTAAAAGGCATGTGGCATAGTCTATAAAGGAGGAGAGCGTTCTCTGCAGACCTTTGGAAGGTTCAGTAGAGGAATCCGCTTGTTTGGAATGCATTTAGAGCTGCTTGCCACTCCCCCCTTGTTTTTTGCTTGCTTTTTCTAAATGTGTAAGATGCTCTTGTGGCTCTCCTGTTGGGCAGATGCAAGTTGTAGCTGATCTCTCCACTCAATTTGTCATAGAAAAATTGTAATGAAAAAATAAATTTTGTCTCCTCTACATTCCATATTGCGTCATCATTTGAGTGGTTTGGGTGGTATTTTCCAAGGAACCAGATGATCCATTCAGTACAAGCAATGTCCAAACTGGCTGAGAAACCAAGGCTAATCCAGAATGGAAAAGAAGGCACAGATCATTATGTTTACAGCACAATCCTATGCATCTTTACTTTGAAAAAAAGTTCAAGGGTGATTACATCCCCATCCCCACCCCCCTCTTAATAGAATGGCCCTGTAGTTTCCAGAGCTGCTCTACCAATAGGTTTTTCAATATAATTGTTGGGTTTCATGTAATTCTATTTAGGCAACAAACTAATCTTTTCCAGGCCCTCAATGCTGCTTCTGGCAACACACTATGCAATGGCTGTACATCCCACATAGCCCACCTGCTAGGAATTGGTATATTCTTTTAAAAGAACACGATTGACATCGCAGTTGGTTTTACATTTTGTTTATTGAAACTACACCTTCCTTGAGAAGTGCATTGCTTCTTGAAACCTGAGGTTGCTGCTGCTGTGCTAGGGTCTGCAAAATGTTCCTAGTTGCTTCTTAAGATGGGGAGAGCTAGCAGCAAAAGACACTGACTGGAGAAGACTGAGGGAGGGGGGTGGGCAGAGGTGCTTTCTGCTCTGAGTAATTTGATTTACGATGCCTAATTCCCATATGGAGCAAGCAAATCAATTGCCTTTCCAAATACACTCTTGGTTCTTAATCTAAATTTCATTAAGCCACACACGTATAGCGCCACCACAGGCCCCAAACAGAATTGTTGCTTATGTCTGTGCTACAGTAGCAACTTCAAAGTTTTGCTAATGATAGGCTATATCTGACCTAAGTCAGATCTGTGAACTAGACAAACTTTCAAGTTCATTGATTTCAGTGGGTCTACCCTGACGTAATTGAATACAACCCGGTCATTTGCTAAATATATGCAAGATACAAATGTTTAGTTGTTACACAGAGGCTATGCTTGTCTTTAAAAAACACAGGTCTCCCCTACCAGAATGCAGTCACATGACCTATTTCTTCTGTGCCATGCATGGCTTTTTGTGCCTGTCTGAAATAAATAAACATTTGACAGCCTCAGCAGGAGTACTGCTTGCTGCCATATATGCTATGTCAAATCAGTGCAGTGAAATGGATTCTATTATTATTTTCTTTCTTACTTTGAATACCTTGTTGACAAATTTGCTGAACATTAGCATATGTGATAGGCACACAAAAGAAAGTAGCCAAGCAATTCTCAGTATGGAAAGAGCAATTCCAAGGAGCGTTGCAAAATACAGAACGAGAGCAGACCCTATGCATTTAATTGCTGTAGAGAAGAGTTATGCTGTCGTTGCTTAAAGGTCTACTACTTGCCATATGATGAACTTAAAAGTAAATAGGTGAACTTGGTGAGAAGTGGAGTAACCTGAGGTTATTGATTTGCTCTATATAAGACAAGGATGGGTATCATGTGGAACTCCATATAATGTTGGACTAAAATGTCAATCCTTGTTCATTGCCGAGGCTGATAGGAGCTGTATTTTAGCACCATCTAGAGCAGGGGCAAGGAACTTTTTCAGCCTTCTAGAGGACACATCATGCCAGTGGTGAACGGGGCCAGAAGCAAACGTGGGTGTAGCAACGAGTTAATTTTACCTTTTGTACAAAAACCTCTTTCTACACACAGTCGAACATCCCTCTCCCAGGCAAGAAGAGGCAAAAAAACCACATGAGGGTACAAAACAGGGCTGCTGGTGAGGGTTGTGACCTAGGGAGAGTGGGTATGGCTTGGGAGAGTCCTGAGGATCCAAGAATGAGGACCTCATTTGGCCTCCAAGCCTTAAGTTCACTATCCTTGCTAAGCAAGAGGACCACCAGTTCCCCCACCTCTGATAAAAGCAATGGCAACAGCCTCAAACTGAATGTTTCACCACCTAGTAAAGACATTTTATTGTTTGGGAAACTATTTTTACTTGCAAAACTTCCGTAAGTGCTTTCCGTTTCTTCTGCTCCTTTGGTTTATTTATTATCAGTTTCCTTTGGGATGGGAAATAAAAATGAAGTGTAGTTTAAAAGCCTCTATCTAGAGAGGAGGGGTGGGGCAACACAGAGATACTTCATGGAGGCAGCAGGCACAAGCATACCCACCTACTGATGCACAGTACAGCATTTTGAGGAGGTGGCAGAAAGGAGAGATGGATTGCTGCTGTTCTGTATTACTTACCTCTCCGTATCTGAAGGTTCTTTGAAGCTGCCCTCGAGATCCCATCCTGTGACTTCTTAGAAGACAGTTGGATACTTTACATCAACCAGCTTCTTTCAATATTTCATCCTGCCTTTCCTTAAAGGCACTAAGGTTGGCATAGATGGGGTTACCGGTATCCTCAGACAATAGCTTTATGTGTTTAGAATTGGGCTGATTTAAACCGAGAGACAATGGCTTGCCCAAGGTCTCTATAGCCGAAAGTGGATTTAAACCAAGATCTACATGGCCAGAAACATATCACTATATGCTCACTAGCATACATCTTTTTCTCTCTCTCTTGGTAGTACTATCTTGGCTACATAATTCTACAAATCCTTCATGGAAGCCATCCACAAACCCCATGGGAAAGGTAATTGATATATAAAAAATGAACCTCTTGGCATTTATTATAAGCACTTTTTAAAGGAGACAGACTACAATGAAACTCAGCCTGCCTATTAAATGGAACAAATCACAGGCCCAAGGCTATCAGCTGAGAGGAAATACAGTATCTCAGGAAGTCATATTGGAACTGAAGATATTTCCTGACTATCCTCCCACCCCCAGATAAGTGGTAACTAGAGACATGGCCTTCCCTTGGTACGATAGAACTTATTCTTTGAGGCCTGTCTTACAGAGCTGTTGCAAGGGTTACTGATGTACGTGACGTGCTTTGAACTATTTAAATATGCTATATAAATGCAAAGTATTGTTATCTATTTAGAAGCAGATGAGTATGCCATGCAACAAGGGCATACTGAGAGAGCTTCCAAAGCAGCATTTTTCTTTTATTTTTTGAGATGCTCCTTATTCTGTGCACAGGCTACCCAGTCAGAGCTTTTAGAATCTCGGTGTGCAGCTGAGATGATGATTCCAGGAGGAAATATTGTTAGGCATTGGGCAATAGTTTCTTCCAAGAGATGCTGGTCATTTCACACTTAAAATCAAAATGCGATGAAGTACATAATTAAGCAATGGAATCTGTTATCAGAAAATGTGAGAATGGCTACCAATTTAGCTTTAAATGGAGATTAGACAAATTCATGGAATATAAGATTACTAATAGTCATGTTGTTGTTGTTTAGTCGCTTAGTCATGTCCGACTCTTCGTGACCCCATGGCCCAGAGCATGCCAGGCACTCCTGTCTTCCACTGACTCCTGCAGCTTGTTAGCTACATGCTATCTTCAGATTTGGAGGCAGCATATTTCTCAATACCAATCACTGATGAATAACTCCAGGAGAGGGCTGTTGCCACCATGTCCCCATTGTAGGCTTCCTGTCCGTGTCTGGCCAGCTATTGTAAGAAAACATACTGAAATGAAACAAATCTCAAAAGTTACATAAGGACATAAAAAGCCCTGCTGGATCAGGCCAAAGGTCCATCTAGTTCAGCATCTTGTTCTCACAATGACCAACTAGATGCCTATAGAGGTTCGTAAGGAGGACCTACATCTGCGTGCAACAATATTCTCCCCACTTGTGATTCCCAGCAAGTGGTATTCAATTCAGAGGCATGCTGCCTTCTGACACAACCAATGTGGCTCCGATAGACTTATCCGCAAATGGAGTACAAAGAATCTGGTGGAACAGTGAAAATCAGTCAAAATACTCTATCATGGATCTGTTAAAATATATAGAAAGGTCAAACTGAAAGTGGCGTACTTCAGAGAATAAAGGGATTCTTATAGGAAACACATTTTACAGAATTACTCTGGATAGAAATCCCAGTCTGAAAAGAGCAAACCAATAGAAGGACGACAGTACATTATCTGACCAAAACCTTGACAAGAAGTGCAAGAATTCAGGAAAGTACCAGAAACAGAGGCTGTTAAAAAAGAAAAAGAAAAAAACAGGAATGACTGGCACTACCCTCAGACTGTTTGGATATAAAAAGTGATGCTTTTGTTGTTGTTTTTTTAAAGAAACCCAGAATGGAGCTAGCAAAAGTTACTCCTGCTTTTTGTTTACATTTAACCCAGACTATTAGTTTCAGTTCAAAATATGATGAACTTTTCATGCTAGTAATTGTTAGCAATATATGTATTCTCCTATACAGTATTCTCTCCAGTTGGGATGTCGGCTGGGTTTGCTTCGTGTTGGGCGGGTACGGAGAATGCGCCACCCTCAAATCCACTGAGGCCTCAACTTTTTTGTTCTCGTTTAGCCGTAACTCTTTGACCTCCCCCATCTTTCCACAAGAAACGAGCTCCAGCTCCCATGGTCCCTTCTCTTGCCAGACTTCTCTCTTGGTTCCCCAGCTCTGTGGTTCAGCGGGGCGCTTCTGACACGACTGTACAGATACGTGTCTGCGTGTGTCCGCCGCCCGCGCAGGCGACATTCGATCTTTATCCAATTTCGATCTCTTCCCCATGACTGGAGCGCACAGAGCGCCCCTTGCCCCTCGGCGCTCGCGTCAGCAGGGCAACACCCTCCTCCCCACAGGAGACTGAAGAAGGGGACGGGGCGGGGGTGGCCAGGAGTCCCTCAGTGCTGCTGGCCACGCACCTCCATGTTGGACGGCGTGCCCGTGTCTGCATGCGCGTCGGTCACGGAGGCCCGGGCCGGGCCTGCTGCCTGAGGGACTTTCTGCACGCCTCGGACACAAGTGGCCCCTCAGCTTCCCCGCTGCTTCTGAAACACCGCTGTGGACCAACTGGACGGCATTCAACTGGCGATGCCTGCGCCTGGACGCGGGGGGCGGCCCGCGTTTCCACAAGGTAGGGGGGAGTTGAGTGGGTTTGAGATTTGATTATTATTATTATTGGGCTCCCGTGTAGAAGGTCGCCGCGTGCGCGCCCGCGTGCCCGCGAATACACACACACACACACACACACACCCCGCGCGCTTGGGGCCAGAAGGGCGGCAGCAGGGGAGGAGAGCGCGCGAGCGCACACCAACGAGCGCGCCTGGCCGAGGTGAAGTGGAGCTGGGCAGCCTCAAGGCTCTAATGAGCGTGTGCGCGCGCCTTGCCCTGATTGGGAATTGAGGGGAGAGAGATGCCGCTTGACCTCTTCCCCGCTCCCCTCCCCTGCTGTCCCCGCTCCCCTCTCCCCTCCTCCACCAACTCCAGTTGTGGGAAAAGAAGAAGAGCCGGAGGCAGTGCTGAGCTGGAGACGCAGCAACTCCCCGAGTCCCTCCTTGTGAGTAGTCTCGCCTCCTCCTCCTCTGTTCCGGAGATGGATGGATGGATGGATGGATGGATGGGCGGCTAGATGGGCAGGCAGGCAAGCAAGCAAGCGTGGGGGTAACAGCAGGCTGCTTTTCCCAATTGGAAAGCGTGTGGGATAGGGAGGGAGGGAGAGGGGGGGTTCTTTCAGGCTGACACCCCCCTGCTCCTCCTCTTCTTCTCCACCCCCCTTTTCTCCTCCTCTTCCCACAGCCACCCCTGACCGCGCGACATTGTCCAAACGGGAAAACTGCTGACAGGTGAAAGGGGGGTGGGAGGGAAAGTCAATTACATCAGGAATCCAGCAAAGATGAGGACTCAGCAAAATCGAGAGAGAGAGACCAAAAGACAGACAAGGCAGGGCTGATCTGTCGCAGCTGTGCAGCCTCTTCCCGCGACAGACTCGCTTTCCTCGCCCGCCCGGCTCCCAGCACCCGGCTTCGATCCTGGCACGGGACAGGAGAGCTCGGATGACGAGATGGACGGAGGGGAGGAGGAGAAGGGTCGCCGCGGGAGGGAGGGGGGAGGCAGCGAGGGGGACGCCGGCAGCGGATCGGTTTGGGGAACTGCCTGCTAGTCCCAGCCCAAGCTCCTCTCTTTGGAATTCTTTCTCTTTTTTTAAAAAAATAATCCATCCTCATCCTCATTGATAGTGTCTAGGAAGCTGATGCTGAGTTGAGTGAGTGAGGAGGGGCAAGAGAGAGGGAATGACAGAGAGGAGTTGTTGTTGTCAGACAATACCGCAAAGGACTTTGGCAGGGATCAACAGAAGACAGTGGGGAATGGGGTTGGGGGGGAGAAGAAGAAGAAGAAAGAGAAAGAGAAAGAGAGAGGGAGAAAGCAGGAGACGGATGGGTCAAGCTCCCCTGCCTTTCCCGGGGTGTTGATGAACTCTGGGGCTGCTCTGTGTGGGAGGCGAGGGAGGGGAAGCCGAGCAGACTGCGGGAGGGAGCTGGGACACCCAGCTGCAGGGAGACCAGGAACTGTTACACTGCTGCATACATTAATGACTGCTCAGTGTGCCGGAGAAATACTCCTTGGCGGTTGGTACATGTGTGTAAACAGTCTTCTCTCTCTTCCCTCCCTGCCTCGATATGCTGTCCTCCCTCTCCTCTGCTCCTCTTTTCCTCCCCAATTGTGTACTGCCCTATCCTCTGCCTTAATCCTCTTCTTCCCCCTCTTCTTCTTCTTCTTCCCTTCTGATTCCTGCATCCTTGCACTCTCTGTTTTTCTCCCACCTCTTTCTCCTTTCTGATCCTGCTTGCCTGCCTGCCTCCTTCCTCCCCGTCTTTCTCAGGGGATCACACTTTGCCGGGATATAGTTGTGTAAACTGGGGGCTGCCACCACGGAGAGACCACAGGAACCCCCCTTGGGCCCTCCATGTCCCTTTGACGGGGCCTTTTGGACTCGAAGACCCCCCCACGCCCCCCAGCAGGGGTGCTTTGCTTGCATCTCCAAGACGCCCCCTGCACAGCAAGGATCGCCGATCCTGTCTCCTTCTTCTGCCGTTTGCCTCATGGAGAACAAGAGCTGCAAAGGGGACAGCCTGCGGCCACCTGTCCAATGCAAACACTCTGTAGAGAAGAAGACGATGACTAACCCCACCACGGTGATTGAAATCTACCCAGACACCACCGAGGTGAATGATTACTATCTCTGGTCCATCTTCAACTTTGTATACCTCAATTTCTGCTGTCTGGGATTCATTGCCTTGGCATATTCTCTGAAAGTAAGTACCGATCTTAGCCCTTTTTAGTGAGGCTCTCTGGGGCCATAGCTGGAGAAAGTCTGTGCCCCTCCACCTGGGCTCGTTATAGTGAAGCTGATTTACTGCAGCTCTCTGATGAGAACTGCTCTTTCTTGCATGTTATCAGGCGTAATGTGTTGGGTTCAGGAGAAGTACTTTCTCTCTAGGGGGGCATGAATATTTTGGTTTGTGGGGCACAAATGTTTTGGCTGTGGAGCATGAATATTTTGGTTTGTGAATGGCATCCAACAGAATAAAGAAAAGGAGCATTCTAATAACCTGCAGGCATTCATAGGAATCTGGATGGGTAAGATGAGAAGAATCAGCCATTATAGATCTGAATTGGCTTTGGCTGTTGCTGAAGATTTGTGATTATCTCTCTTCCGATTTCATGGTTAATAAGGTTGGCAAATGAGTTTTACAACTGGCAGACAAAGAGCTAGCTGGGGGAGAAATGTAATTAAAAGTATTTTGGTGAGTTAGGGATTCTTTCGTGCCATTGCCATCCCTACCATCACCATCCATCATTGTGTCATTTTCTACATTACTTGTAATGCCCTTCATGAATAGTATTGGATTATTCTTTACAACAGTCTTATGAGGTAGGTTATTAATATCCCTCCTTTTTTGTAGAAGATAATCTGAGATTGAGAAATTGTGGCTTTCTCTGGCTTTCCAGTGAATCTATGACTGACTAGGGATTTTAACACAGTGCTAACAGGACTGTACTAACACTCATATTCCATGAAGCATTATCCGTTCATGCAGGACTTTTTAAACTTTAATACAGCTTTTACTGAATTGCTTCCCAGTTTAACAGGCTAGAATATTTTGGCACAGCTAGGTTTTAGAATGTTTGCCCCTCATGAAAGCTAGGAATGTGGTTTGGATTCTTCAACTAGAAGTTCTCCAAGTAGATGCATACTTGAATTTGTTGCATCACTGTTTTGTGAACATCTGGAGTCCAACTGATGTAGAAGCATGTAATAATACTGTTGCCTGCAGTGGAGGGACGGTGAATATTTCTGCAAGCTGAGAATGTGGCTTAGTTTCAGCAAAGGGTAATCTTTGAAAACAATATTTTAAGAGCTCCACGGAAGAATGCTTCATAAGAATCTAATCAGAATCAGCGGGAGTCCTTTTTACGAACTTGTGGCATTGGCATCTGACCCTTAGTGAGAAGCCTTTTTGTTTTGGGGATCTGATTGGCTCTCGATGGAAAGGAATTGTTTGATGAATGCAGCAGCTGCAAACCGGAAGACCTGAGAAACCCTTGGGAAGCAGCCTTAAGCACAGATGAATCGCTTGTCAGCTTCTTACTCTGCTCTTCGGGGGACCTCTAGGTCTCTTATAACCCCTGCTGCGTTAGGCCAGCTTCTTCCTTTGGCAAGTGGGAGCAAGAAGGGGGTGAAAGAAACAGCTGCTGTTCTGCTGCTGTTTAGAATACCCAGGCGAGGAGGAGGAAAGCAACTCATGCTTCACTCTCCCTTGGGCCTTGTAAATTACAAGGTCAGCAATGGAGACCTTCTAGGAGAGCAAGATTGCTGGCTGGAGTGGTGGAAGACAGAGGGGATGGTACATGTCATATGGGCAAGGAAGGTGGCTCTAGAAATGGGAGCTTTGATTTAAAAATAAAAAAGGGAAATCAGCAAACATGCAGGAGATGATGCACTCAGGCAATTGAGTTAAAGGGAACCTACAGCCAGTTAAAAGGCTGTAAAAGCCTTTTGGCTTGCTTGGTCAAAACAGGAATGGAGATGGCAGGGGTGGGAGATGAAATTCTGGCCATGTAGCTTCTCTAGCTTGTGTAACCTTTTCTAAGGTAACACTACCCTCTGAGCACACCAGACCTGCTGTAATTATTCCTCATAACTGCAGGGTGAATATGAGCCAGCTGGGCTCCAGGATTTCACTGCTCGGTGCAGCCAACAAGCAAATTGCGATCATCTATCAAGGAAGAATGGATGGCGACTTCCCCTTTTACATATGGGGGGGAATAGCTATCTGGATGTGGGGATAAAGAAGGCCCAGGGGCTGTTGTGTAGCCTCTAATATATCTGAGGTCCAGAGGGGAATATAACGGATGTGTTTTGGCAGACAGCATTTACACTATTCAGAGGGATTTCATCACAGAAATAGATCAATTAATTGCATATAACTCCAGCGACCGTGAATTCCACAAGAGAGCAATAGGGTTGTTTCCAAGCTAGCTGCACCCTCAGTCTCTTTGGTTTTACAAGCTGGCCACCAAATACCTGGCTTTGCTCCAACAAACTCTTGTGTCCCCCCCCCCTCCGAAAAAAAATATTATTTGGGGGCTGAATAACTTGCCTCCTTTGCTTGTGTTATTGTATTTCTCCATTTCACTACATGTGAAATAGGGTTGCAGATGCCTCCCTCAGTCTCATGAAAGAGATTTTGGGAGGTCGGATGCAGTTAATGGGCTGTTGTGTGCCAACAGCTCTACAAGGGCTTAGCAATTTTTTGGCAGGCGGCTCAAAAGTTATATGGCTCACCCCACCCCCTTCAAAACATGGCTTCAAAACTTTGAGAGCAGAGTCTCCTTTAGAAATGGGAAGAAGGTCATTCTGCTCACAAAGTCCCCCTTTAATCCTCAAGCTGTAGGGTGGGTTGCAGGGGATTTTTGGTACCGTTATCTGCCTTCCTCACAAGCGTCTTTCAAGATGGGAAAGAATGTCAGAGCAAACAGGCCGTGGCTGTTCTGTGTTAACTTTGGGCAAAGGCAAGACAATGTAGCACAACAGGCCGGCCTTCTGTGTATCTCAGTGTAGCATTTGTGTGTGGGGGGGGGGAATCACATTTCAAGCTCTCATTGTAAAAGAGAAAAGTTTGAAAAATGTGCAGATCAAAATGCACTAAAATTTTTGTAGCCATGGGAGTAGAAAGGTGAAGATTGAATTTGACCTCAGTTTTGTGTGCCAAGCTTCTGGGCCATACTCAGACTTCCTTCAAAGCTGCTAGGCTCTTATTCTCTATCCTTCCTTCAATCACCATGGCTCAAGCCTTAGTTTCTTCCTTGTCCTGTCCTGCCATGGCTCTTATCAAAGTATCCCATGTTCTGTTGAAACCCAAATTGTATATATCTTACTAATTTTCAAACAATAGGGCATATCTCCACAGGTGGCACCTTGGTTTTTCACTTTCTAGCTCTTGTGTATTTGACCTTCTCATTCCTCATTGTACCTTATTTAGTCCTCATTGGTTTTCTGCCCATCCAGCATGTCTTTGGTTCAGTGCTTCAGGAGTAATCTGCCTGCAAACAGGACTAACATGCCAGGGCCGTCAGAGGGCCAGCTGACCAGACCTGGAGCAAAAGGAATGTTCTCTGCTCCAAGGTGCCCAATGTCAGTTGCTGAGGTTGGAAGCTGAAGCCTGAAGTGCAGCACAAAGAGGATACTTTGCTAACCAGGCAAGAGTCAACTAAGTCCAAGCTCCCATTGTTTATGCCAGACCTGGGCATTCCCAGATGTGTCATACTGCCCACTACTTCCAGGGTTGGATGTTGCAGATCACCACTCTCTTCCTTGATCTGAGGTCTGAGCGCACACAGTTGCAGCCACCTGACCAAGCCAGGCTGCAGGTAGAGACCAGGCCAGGTGATAAGGTGGGGAATCAGGCCCTGGGGTCCCTGACACAGCACTGATAAATGGTCCTCCTATGGATTTTGGTAAAACTTCTGTGAACACTTCTGCTTTTAAGCAAACTTCCAAGTGAGCAAGAACAGGGAAAATACAACACTAAATAAGAACAAGCAGTATGAATGATAGGGAGAGTGGTATAAAGTATGCCGGGCATTAGTTATGCGTGAGGTTCCTCAGTGACAATCTTTGCAGCAAATTCTTATTGCTGGCAGTCTACCATGTAGCTGCATTAGCAGTACATGCTGCCTTTTTTTTTTTTAAAGGATCAGAATCCATGGGGTGCTTCTGAAGAGGTTGCAGAAGAGTGTGTGCTACCCTGGTTGTCTATGTTTCCTTTCCTTTCCCCCCATTTCTGAGTGCCAGCCCAAACAAAATTATTGTACAACAGCATTCAAGGGAAAGGGGGAAGCCACTGAGAATGCCTTTTTATGTGCCCTTGTTGGTCCACCTTGGAGCATGGATAGTAGTGAGATGGCAGCATGCGGCAGCTTCTGAAGCACCTGTTGCCTATTTTTTATATGGCACCATTGCTAGGAAACCTGACCTTCACTTGTCACTGTGATATTAAAGAGCTGAAATTTGACAAATCTTCACACCCTTGCCCCAAAGGACAAGAAAAATGAGGAAAATCCTGATATTAGATTGATTAAGGGGAGAGGAATCAGAGGTGCTGCCGGCATTCAGTAGACAGCTCTTGTAGTATGCTGAAGATGCATCTCTTGCCTTGGCCTTTGACACCTGAGATGTGTGTTGTTGGGTGGCATTAATAACAATAATACAATGGAATAATACAATGCTGTGCATGACTATCAGCACAGGGAGAGGTTCAGCAGAGGGCACTTTGCAGCCTGACCACCTTAAACCTAGAGCTCACTGTGCCCTAGATGGCATCTTGTGTTTATGCAATGGGTTGGAGACAAAGAACAGAGAACTTGCCTGTGGAGGGCAAAGGGTCAGGGTTTGGGTTTTGACAGAAATGTTGAAAAAGGTTTCTAAGGGAGAAACCCAGAAATGGGTTATTGTGGAGATGAGTTTCTTATTCTCTGCAAATTCTTATTCTCTTTGCAAATTCTGGGACAGCCCAAACACATTTTAGGTTTTATTGGGATGGCTTTTCTGTGCCCAAGAGAAATGTCTGTGTGCAGTTCCCTCACCTCGTGGGAAGAAGAGGCCTCGGGAGAGCACGTAGCTTGAAGGGAAGAGAACACACACAGGCAAAGTTAAGACGGCCCATGGGATTTTGGGGTTTAAAAAACCCCTCTCGCACACACCCTGCCTTAATGTCACAATAGTCTTGGCACCAACAGAACGGGCGAGGCAGCAAGAGGAATTTGGAGACTGTGAGCCACAAAACCCAAGAAGTGGCAAGGAACCTGAGGTGGAGATGCAGAATTTTAGGTACGGAATGAAACTTTGGTGGCGAATCATACCATTATTTATTAAGATTTTTCATTATTAACAATAAATAATAATAAAGAATGAAGAAGAATTAGAAATAAAATTAGAACAACTTAGAAGTCATTTGAAGTGTTAACATAGCTATCAAGAAGAAAATAGGCTTATTAAATTGAATGATACATCCCTAACTCAAATTCTCTACACAAGTTCTCTACACAAAAGTGTGTCTTTTCAGCAGTTGCTCCACAGGCATGGTGATTCTCTCCCCAAATAGGTTTTTAAATCTTTTTTCTTTGCCAGTTTTTCTAGAGGAAAGTAAAGGCCTTTTTTTTTATTAGCCCCCTAAGCATTTTGGGAATAGGGTATTTTAGCTGCCTGTTGTTTGACACTGCTGCTTTTGTAGTTAATCTGCTGGTACTCATTGTTTTAAGTTATTTTGCTGCTAGCTTCTTTTTGCAGTTCTTCTGCTTGTGGTTTATTGCTAATTTTATGTTGTATTTGGTATGTTTTTATTATTACCTAATTAACAGGAAAAAACAAGGTAGATAGATGATGACTGTTGTGACGACAGTGACAACGGCATTAATGATAAACTATTTTAACTAATTAAAAAGGTGGGACTTGAGTCTGATGCACACTTGAGAGGTTGCAAAACCTGCACCATGCACTGGGATGAGCAGTTTTTGAGGTAAGGCGGGGTAGGGGGCTCCGTGTTTGCATACTTCTCCCATAGAAGTCAGTGGCAGCTATTGACTTCTATGTGGAAGAAAAGAAACAAATTCTGGTCAATAAAACTGGGGTCAGGTGCCATAGAATCCACCCTTGAAAGCAGAGAGTGAAGGTAACGGTGGAACTTAATAGAACTGTTGCCCAGCCTCTCTACAGTGCATCTCTGTGCAGAGGGTGCTGAGATGAACTGTCCCTCATAGTAGCTCAGTAAACATGTACTTTCGCTTCAGAATAAAGCCTCCCTCACACATTAAGTCATGTTAAGGGAATCCACCCACTGAGGTGCCTCTGACCCAACCCCAACATAGAGCAGCTGCTAATCTCCATGTACCCCAGCAATATGGCCTTTTGTTATAAATCTGTATACATCTGTGTCCCTTGAGAGATAGCTCAGCCGGTAGAGCATGAGACTCTTAATCACAGGGTCATGGGTTCAAGCCCCACATTGGGCGAAAGATTCCTGTGTTTCCAACTCTGCAATTCTATGATGATTCAATGATCTTTAAAAATGTCGGTATTCTCGAAACATTTGATTAGGGAAATGTAAAAGTACTTTTCATTTCTGTTATTTTCAGAATGGTATAATACATCTTAAATCGAGTTGGTAGTCATTGGGTTGGTTTGCATTTGATGCCAAATCATGGTCTGGCTACCTTCAGGTTGCACACTCCTTCTGATTCTCCCCCCACCCATGCTCCTCTCATCTGTACCAATTTTCCCCACCCCTGGATCCAACTGGGCTGACTGTGGTTAATCTGCAAGTCAGAATTAGAAACTTCAGGTGTCATCAGTGCTGCAGATGGGATGATTGTAGATACTTTAAGCGTATCTGCAGCGCCCCCACCCCCAAGAATTACTGCTCCTTTTTGCAGATCATGAGCTGCGAAATTGGAGACACCATTTTGGTTTCAGACCTAGTGAGACATACATTTGGATAAACAATAGTGTTCCATTAAAGCAGACATGTCAATTAGAAGTCCTAAGAGGTGGTAGTAAAAATAGTGAAGGGTAACTTATTACTCTGTGTAGACAAGCATTAAATGAGCCTTGAGCCCAATTCAATCATCTCTGGAGCCTGTTATATTTCACAAAGTTTTCTGCTTTGTGTTATGGCAAGGTGCTTTAGAAACAATTATTTTGTTTTGCTGATGTATCCTTTTAAGGATAATTGCATACAAGATTTAAAAGACCTTTGACAGAAGTTGGGAATCCTCTGATAATATTGCCAAATTCAATAGGCTGGATTCAACTTACTAGTGGAAACCTGTGCAGGAACTTCTGCTATGGCAATGGGGCTTTCCTGCCCTTGAGCCCACTCCCCAATTAGCTCTGGGACATCTTGGAGAGAAGAAAAGGCTAAGGAGTAAACCCTACACAAATTTGGAGTGGAGTCCCTAGGACGGTTGCCTTGTACGCCTCCTTCTGGCAACTCCTGCAGCCAAGCTGGTGCCAAATGTAGTGCTCTGCTTTCCTTTGGGTCACATCACCGAGGCCTGGACAGCCCAGCACCTCCATACACACTGCTCAGGCTTGTGCCGCAGGAAGGACCCCAGTGCTTCTAACACAGCAAAAACAATGCAGGAGGCAGCATTTACCAGTCTCTGCAGCTACAGCAGGCATTGTGATTCTCCACTGGTTTGACTTCACCCCTGGAGGTGCACTCCATTGTCAACTGGTGTGTCTCAGTGGGAGCTAAGATGACCAAGGAAGGCATAGGTGATGGGCAGAAATTACTTAGTCTTCTTCCTCCAACTATAGCAGGAAGAGAAGTGATTAAACTAGTGTCTGTGAAAAATAAAATAAAATTATGAGACTTAAAGTTTTGAGCCAGGCAGATCAGAAGACAGAAAATTGAACTGGAGATCTGTAACATCTCAGGATGCAGCCTGTTCCACTGAAGCTGATGTGGAGACAGATGAATGTTGAGTGTCTGTTGGAGTTGTTAAGCAGAACTCTTCCATCTATGCTCACCATGTATAGCTGAAAATAGATGCAAACATTACAAAATGTCTTAAGCCCCAGCGACTTCATGCCAAAGAAACACAAACCTGGGTAACTGCTTGCACCTGAAATTTCGCATCGCTCAGAGAACTGGGACATTGGGGCAAGTGCAGCAATTTAATCTGAAGTCAATGAAAAAGTTGCATGCTGAATACACAGTGCAAATAATGTATTGGCAATTTGTTCATCTTTAAATTTAAATGCCTGGTTAATTAAAGGAATAAGTCTGTACATTGAAACAGGCAGCAAAGGGTTGACGTTGGGTTAGAAAGGAAAGTTTTCTTTAGAAGATTCTTGTAGCATAGGTCTTGGAATAGCTTGTTTTCATCCTTCACCCCAATTTATTTATTGTTTTAATAAAATGGACTCTTGTGCACCATAACAGTAGTTTGAAGAATGCTTTCATCTATGGGCAAAGAGTTAAGCCAGATATTCTGAAATCTACAGCCCAATAACTACAAATGTCAGCATGAGCTAGACTTGTTCATTTAGGAGAGAGAGAAAATCCTTAACAGGTGTCTTGGATGATGTGTAGTTTTCCAATTCTTACAGTCCTTATAACCTCTCATTTCCTCAGGTTTATAATCTAGGCTTTGAAGAAGAGCTAGCCAGTCAAAAGCTCCATAAAAATTTCATGCAGAAGATGCAGAAGTGCTTAGTGCAGGCTTCAGTAAAGATGGAAGGTTGAAGGAGGTACTCCATACTTTGCAGGATCAGAGCCATGCTTACTGCATGTAAATGTCATTTGGATGTAAACCTTAGTGGTAAAATAAATGTTTGGAATCCTCCAGAGGGATATAGATAGAAGTCTGTTTACCAAAAGTACTCAGAATCTATAGCTCCCATTGACTCTTTCAGAACAGAGCAATTCTAAAGATCCAAGAAAATGGCTAAAACTAAGGAAAGAGAAACAAGCTGATCATTAAGGTAGTGTTGATGTCTGTCAGTCCATGGAACCGCTGGTGTTTGTTATAACAGAGAAATAAATGAAATAACCTGCCTTGTGCACTGATAAGAGCAATATAAGGAATGTCAGCAGGAGCATGTGGTGGGCTAGACAGTTTCTGTATCTTCATAGCTCTCACTGCCAGAAGGGACTATTATGGTCAATTATTTTGACCTTCTGCATGGCACAGGTCAGAAGATTTTCTGTCAGTAATTCCTGTAGCAAGCCCATAGGGCTCTTCTCTCTCTTACAGCTCTGATTTTATAGCAGGGAAGAGATGGAGAGAAATGGAAAAAATGCAAGCACAACATTTTTCAAAGGCACAGAAAGAGAGTGACAAAGGAGGCAGTGCCCATTGCATTTGTGGCTTATGCACAGGGGTCTGTGGAATAGATAGAGGCAGAGTGTATAGCAAAATGAGCACTTTGCTGAGTGATGAACGTGTTTCAGATTTCTGCTCCATCCTTTTCTCTCATGGAGGGCAGCCTGAAAAACTAAAGTGTCTATTTATATATTGTTGGAATGTATCCACTCCCTCCTTTTCTACTGTGCTAGAGTACAGTCCAGTTTTTCAAAGTCTTGCAATGCTCCCACTGCCCTAATCCTATTCAGGCACTTGCTTCCTATCTTAAATCAACATGTGATGGGAGAGAATGGGGATAAAGTGCACCAACTCTGTCCTGCGGTAGTTATTGGCAGGACTGTGCTGCTTACCTGACCCCCTCTCACTGTCATCACTGTGATGTACCAGGAAGGGTGAGGAGCAAGGTAGTGATGAGTTCAGCATGGTGCAAGCACACCAACAGCAGCACCAGATAGATTCCATAAGTGCATACGCATAATGCCCATCTCAAAGCCACCTTACTTCTTCCCTTCATGAAATGCCGCAGTGACAGCAGTGATCAGGGGTCAGGCAAGCATCTCTACCTTGCCCTGATGACTACCACTGCTGCCCTGGTCACCCTCCAGAAGCTGGAAGGTGATTGTCTGCAACAGGGAGCCTGCTGTGCTCATGTAAGTGCCGCACACAATGTTAAACCCTGACAGTCTCCTTCTGACTCATAGAGGATGGTGGGGATGGGGACAGGGAAAGCAGAGTTCAATGAATGCCTAAATATGGATCCTGACTGTGCATAATACTCGCTGGACTTGCTTGCAGAATAAGTTGCAATAGATAGTAAGTTAAATGGTGACTGAGGTGTGCACTGTTTGCATTGAAATGCCCTTAGGCATCCTAATGATAAGACAGGATGAGAAGTGCAGAATGGATACATAGCTAAATTGCCCCCTAGCTGCTAAGCATTTCATAAATCAAAGCCAGCCTCCTGAATTGTGTCTGGGATCCCATAGAGAAACAGTGCAAGTTCTCACTGGTGTAATATGCTCCTGCTGCCTAGTTTCATCAAGGGATGGCTTCGCTCTGCAGCAGTTAGAGCTCTCTGACGATTATCAAGGGCAGCCGTGTGCTGAGTGTATTACATTGTACTGTGGCAAAGAGAAGGTATGAACCGTGTCACCAGATCTATATCCAGCTTTCTTACCAGGTGGACCTGGTGAAAAGCATGTCTGACCACTGCTATAGGTTAACCCTCCAGACTGAGCAACAGGCCTAGGAGCACCCCAGCACTACAGCCTTGAATGACAATATGAAATCTTCACTACTGTCTCTTTTTCCCCTCCATGGGGGGCGGGGGGAAGCTTGCATACTTCTAGACCAGTAGAAGGTTATCTAAATCAAAAACAACAGCTACGACTACATCTTATTTTTTATCTTTTGGGAAACCTGACAGTGGTATTGAAAAGTGGAAGCATTGTCCCAATTTACTATAGACCATCCTAAGACTGATTTAACTAAATTTCAAGTGACAGCTTGCGTGTGGGAATCACGGATTGATCACTACAGATAACAGCTTTTCATTTCGTGTGATTTCATCTCAAACACAATACGTTTCAATGACCACAGTTCAGCTGAGATTAATCAAAAGTTGATTAAAGTGGAATAAAGTGATAAGAAACTGCATAAGTGGAGATCAAGTGCTGTGCATGGCTATTTACTTGACACAGCCCCTGGTGTTGTGTAAGCTCGGGCAATGTATATTAATTGAGAAGTAGTTTACTCCAGACAGTACTCAGACCACAACAGCAATTTCTGTGAAGAACTTTGGCCTATTAACATCACTGGGGCTACATGTTTGCTCAAGCAAAATTAATTGGGGCCTCAGTTGCGAATACAACTAGAGGCTGTCTCTTGAAGAAGAAGAAACCTGTTTTGTGTTAATGTAAGTTCAGAGTATTGTACCTGAGAGGTAGCCAACATGCCGAAGGCTATAAGATCCCCAGAGTTTGCTCTTGGAACTTTAAATAATTTATGAACTTAAAATAAATTTAAAAAAAATAAAATGATGTTGAATAGCTAAAATATTGCCTTAAATAGGCTCTAAAGTATAGGACATTAAGTTCAACAGGTTCCTAAGACCCCAGTCCTGGGAGCTGCCTTTGCATCAGCACAGCAGCAACATATGGGATGAGGTTTAAGAGTGCCGGGGCCAGAGAAATGATATATGATGGCAGCCTTTACCTTCATATCCTGAGCAGCTCCAGGCTGGATTTTTGTCCTAAACCTGCAGTTTTATAAGATTTTTGGATGGGGTGGTGGTGGTGGTATGTGGTACAAAAGCACAGAGGTCCCCTGTTGTTTGTCAACACTAAGAGGTTAGATATATTTTTAAAGCCCCAATCCTGGATTTTTTAGGAAGAAGGTTCTTACTTAGCTTTCTCCCAAAGTGATATAATTCCATGTAATATGATGCTGATGGTCATGTATTTCAGCTTTCAGTGAAAGGGTTTTGCTGATGGTCGGGATCTGCCTCCTGAAGACCAGAAAGTAGTCCCCCCCCCCCAGGTCTGCTTGAGTTGCAGCTCTATGGGAGGGTATTGGTGGAGCATGGAGTACTGCTTTTCCCTGCAGTATTTGTTTTGCCTTGCCTGTGCAAGCCATATGAAGCTGCTTGCTTAAACATGCACCTTTCTTCATGCATCTGGTTCTGACTGCATGATGGTAGATAATTTCGTCGGTTACATAGTTTGAGATATATGGGACAGTTGGGTTCTCCTATGGGTTTTTTGGTTGCTTCCACTATTATAGGTCCATTCAGGGCCAAAGTAAACTTGACATTAAATTCATTAAATTTCAAGTGCAAATAATAGCTTCAGAGCAGAGAGATTTTCTTTACGACTGCAAGAAAGAAGGAGATGGTTCAGTTCCTCCTCACTGCCTGCCACAATCTTGATAATAAGGTTTAGGGAAGCTTTTAATGTTTGATGTATTTCAGTATTTTAATACACCACCTCCCAGTAATGATCCACATGGTAATTTGCAGCACACACAACTTGCCACATAAATTGGCAGCATGGAGAGCAATTTAAAACAGCCCCCATGTCTCAGCCCCCAGCAGGGACTGGGGTCTGAGTGCTATGCCTTATGCCATTGGGATCTCAGAAGAACCCTTAAGTGATCCAGTGCAAGGACCAGAGGCATTGACCAGGCAAATCACAAATTCCTTGATCTAACTAACAGTCCTGCAATCACCCTATCATTTTGACCTCTAATGCCGCTGTCCATGGTAGTGGCTGCAAATCTTTTGACTCTGATCAGCACTGATCCGCCAACACTCTTCAGGGACAATCACAAAAATCAAGGAGTCAGTGTGGGTACCATGTAGCAGGAAAATGCACAGAACTTTGTGAAATATAAGCCCCCTGCATGCCTACAAAAACCCCACGGGTCCCAAACTGGAAGAAAATTAGGAGAAAGGGCTGAGGAGTCTATCATCAGCTGATGGGCAGAGATATAAGTCACAATGGGCCTTGAAATCAGAGACTGGTAGTTGGAGGGTAATGAATTATGAGAGCAAGCCAAGAGAGGATTTTGAAAGAGTAAACGAGTAAGCGGTCTACATGGATTCATCTTGAAGAGCAGGAGAGACAAATGAGTTTTAACACATAATTTCTGGGTATATTTCAGAAAAGAGGGAAGTTTGGTTATTTGCACAGCAAGCTAGCATTTAGAACACTAATTGCAACAGAGCTCTAAGATCTATTCTGTGTACGGGGGGAAGCTATTTCCACCTGGTGTTTCTTATGTTGGTGAATTTCAGTAAATACATATGTGGCTATTCCCATGCCTTTAATAAACAGAAGCAATGGTGTATTCCTACCATTTCAGACTAGTACTCTGTGTAACACAGACCTAGCCTGTGGCATTCATTTGCACAGTATGTAGCAATGAGGACAACTACAGATAACGTTAAAAGTGCATTGGGTGAATTTATGGAGTATAAGCCCTATCAGTAGTTTCTAAGCTAACACTAAAAGCAGAAGCTCCACATTTAGAGGTAGTTCACTTCTGATCAACAGATGAGAGATAAATGGAGATGACTATCTTTATCATGTCCTGCTTGTGAGCTTTGCATAGGTATCTTGAGCAATCACCCTTGAAGACAAAATGCTGGAAAATAGGCTTGTCCTGATCCAGCAAGGTCATTCTTATGTGTTTTCTACCCTTTCCCTACCTGCATGTATATGCAGATTGGAGTTCTAACACATTGTTTGTACAAGTCATGGAAACAGGGAGATATGGGGAGGGGCTTGGCTTGGCTTCTATAACATTTGTCTCTTCTTTTTCAGCAGACTAGTTTTAAACTTCCTTTTTGGCACTAAAGCATTGAACTGGAAGCGAGTGAGGCTCTCATACAGATGTGCCTTTGCATTTTAAGTAGGATGTAAATTCATCAAATGAGATTTGATAGTTTTATTCTGCTTGCTGATCTCTTGAAAACCTCACACCAAAGGCTGCATAATGGAAACTGGATCCCCAGAGGTTTTACTTTAATTTATTTAATAAATGGCACCTTTTCAGAAAGTCTGGGTCTAGTTTTGAATTCTGTGCACTTTACCACAATCTCGTTACAAGCTCGGGGAAACATTTGGCCTTAGGAATCTGTGTCTCAGCTCTCCATTCCATTTTCATTGCCTTATTACAAGGACAAATATATTGAGGTTTCTGTTTTTGTTTTTTTTAGGTTTGATAAGAGTTCACCCTTAGTAGCATAACATTATTTGAAGTCATTTTGGGAAAAGGGGTGATTAAAAGAAAACATGCATCTGCACTACTCTGTGCAGCACCTGCAAATAATATGAGAGAGAGAGCTGCATTTGTGCTGCATTTATGTCTGGGTGGATAGGGTTATATCAGGTAGACAGAGTCAGTGGACAGAAGTAGTTCACTAGAGATAATTGAGAATCTGTCAGCAGCCTGCCCTGTGCCCAGTTGTGGCAGCTATTCTACTAGTAAATGCTGCAGAAACATTATGTGTGCATAACTCTCGGGACAGGATGTCTACACTGTGCCAGGAAAACCATGAATCTTCCTGGTGAGAGCACAATGCCAAGATCTCCTTTATCGATCCTTATGCAACAGCAGCTAACGGAGAGGGAAAGAACAGCAACACAAGGCTAAATGAGAACAGGAAAAAAAGATAGTTGCACCTTGAGAAATGCTGCTGACCAGGAGTTCTGCATAATAAAAGGCACAGCTGTGAATCTATTAACCCCCACATAATCACAAACCGGCACATCACCAGAACCACATGGAAACCAGGGGGGGATTTTCCTAAATGCCTAGAATGCCACTTAATAGCAAGATGTGCATGATTAAAAATGCATTCGCTCAATATATATTTACCCCCCCCCCCCCCAAAAAAAACAACAACCACAAAATGATCATAACAATAGTATGAAGACAGGACATCCTGGAGTGGCCAAAGGTTAAAGAAGCTTCAAAGAGGGAATTTTACAAGGGCAGCTTTTCTCATCGCTGCAGGACCACCTGCACTTCCAGGAATTCCCTTTTCTATCCAAGCAGCTATTAAACTCACAGGAGCCTCTTCCTCCTTCGAATCTGGTCCCCTGAGGCTGTCATTTGCAACACCTGTCTGGTGCCTGGAAGGAAGCATAGATTAGCATGCATGAGGCCATGGCTAGTTAAATAGGAATCACAAGAGGTAGCAGTGTAATAGCAATAGTGCAGTGCTCTGGTTCCGTGTCAGACAAAACTCAGCAGCAGATGCTGGTGCCAGAATTGTACTCCTAATATTCTTGGGGGTTGGGGAAGAAAAGAGGATGAGAGAGACCTGTGTGAACAGCTTTGCTGTGACAGGAGGCAGCATATAGTTCTTTAACATGGGTTGCCAGAAGGGCATGTAAAAGTACGCAAGGTATTGTCAGCTTGATTAAAGAGTGCCTGCTTTCTCTGTTATAATCCCTGCTGATACCCTGCACTATTTCACCTAAAAGCATTCAGTGTGGTAGATAATCCATATTAATCTTCAAAACAATAGGAAGTGGGGAAAGGGAGCAATGTGAGAAAAGTGGGGGAAAGGAGGACAGGAGGGAATGACAAAGATACAGATCAAAAGGAGGGAGAAAGTTCGTTCTGGTGCTCCTGGGAGATGTACATTCCTAGAACACTTTCATTTAAATGCTCCTAATTATCATGAGCATCTGCAAGTCCTAAATGAGCTGCTCTTTTCATTTGTTCTTTTCAGTTATTTCATCAAAAGTGTTGTACCCCTACAGCTCCTAGAGACTTGTGCTGAGATTTTGTCTGCATTTCACTGCAAAAATCAAGCTGGCTACAGTTCTGGAATAGCTTCAGGCCTGGCCCCCACCCACTGCCTTGACATAGCAGTCTGACAACAGAGAAGCAGACGTTAAAGGAAAGGTATAGATAGAGAATGTGGGAGAAAGAAGAACAGCAATAGGAAGAAGAGGTGTAGAAGATTCAGACAGAGAATGAGACAAAGGACCTTTTCACACAATGTGTGGCAGCAATCCTAGGTTTGCCGCAAAGTATAAACTGGATGGTAAGCGGCAACCAATTCTGGATTTCAGATAAGTGAATCTCTATGACACATATGTTTCCAAACACACATATACATTTTTAGATGCACATTTTTAAAGGGTTTTTTTTAGATCTAAAAGAATAAATAAAGTGCAAAGAAGCACATAGCGCTAGAGTGTATTAATCAGACAGAGGCAACTCTGTGCAAACATCTTCACTACGCATGCAAATCCATTATTCAAATGATGGCTTGAATAGGTAGAATAGCCATCACAAACGGAACACCACAGACAGAGCTTTTATTTTACCTGAATCATTATACTTTTCAATGGAAGGAAATTAGCATGTTCACCTGGAAATCATGTGGGTCCCCTCCAGACTAGTGTGTATGTGTGTGGGTGTGTTTGTGGGTGTATTCTGCAACCTATCAGTGATGCAATAGCAGTCTATTAAAGGTAAAGGTAAAGGGACCCCTGACCATTAGGTCCAGTCGTGACCGGCTCTGGGGTTGCGGTGCTCATCTCGCTTTATTGGCCGAGGGAGCCGGCATACAGCTTCCGTGTCATGTGGCCAGCATGACTAAGTCGCTTCTGGCGAACCAGAGCAGCACACGGAAATGCCGTTTACCTTCCCACCCGAGCAGTACCTATTTAACTACTTGCACTTTGACATGCTTTCAAATTGCTAGGTTGGCAGGAGCTGGGACAGAGCAATGGAAGCTCACCCTGTCGTGGGGATTCAAACCGCCAACCTTCTGATCAGCAAGTCCTAGGCTCTGTGGTTTAACCCAAAGCTCCGCCCGCGTCCCTTAGTCTATTAGTCTAGCAGTCTATTAGTGGTGGATTTATACTGCATCACTCACACATTGTTCCATTTTATTAGTTGTTGTGTGATGCATCCCCAGTGTTACCACATCATTGTCATCTGGAGGGGGCACAAAAGTGGGACCAAAAATCCTTGGGACTTTGTAGTATGAAAAGTTTGGGGGTTCCAGCAGAAAACTGTGGGACATGCACCAGTTGGAAGCAATGGCGTACGTTTGACTCAAAACTTTTATGGTACTGAAAGCAAGGTCACAGATAACTGCCCCAATGCCAACCTGAACACAAATCATGATGGATGTGCAATGAAAAGGACACCTGGAGGGGCCCTCAGTGATGGTGTAGTCATGATTTTAGGATTGGGTGTGGATGTGGGAAGTCCAGGTTCAAAGCAGCACTCAATTATGAAGCTCTTTTTGGTAGCCTTCGCCAAGTGCCTACCTTGGCCTCACAATCTCACCTATCTGTTTTTGAGGAGGAACAGATGTTGTTTGGAGCTCCTTGGGGAAAGGGGCAGGATACAAATGTAACTAATAATAATTGACACTAATGCTAGCTAATACATTATTTAGGGTGTTTTAAAAACGTTTTTGCAGAGATGGCTGCCGCTACTGTATAGTGGCTGTGAGCTATGCACAAGAGATCTGTCTTCACCGCAAACTTAAAAGGGTTTAAACTCTTAGGAATTGCCCCCCCAATGAATTGATTTATAACTCACCAAATGTAGGATACGATGCCATGCATAACGCTGCTATGGTTCTCCAGCAGAATTCTCACCACAATTATAATTCCCAGAGCACTTTGTGCGAAGTCATATGATGCCCCCCCATGGAGCTTCCCCACCCCCCAGACATGATGCTACCTTGGAAGGGGGAGAGGATTTGCTGCCCTCCAAAAAAAATTGGGGCTCTACCTCCTACCAGCCTCAGCCACTCAGGGATGAAAGCAGTGGTGGTCTGACACCATCTTGAAGGCCACAGGTTCCCCACTTCTGCTTTGGGGATAAATAAAGGTTATGTGCTGTTTGTATTTGTGCAACAAGTACTAGTCAACAGGTGGCTCTTTCTCCATTATTTTTATCTCCATGGCAAGAAAACTTGACCTGTTGATGCAAGATTGCTTTGAGACTCTTGAAAGGATGCTTGTCAAAGGTGGTGAATCTAAGGAAGACTATGGGCCAAAGTTAGAGGCAGATGAAATGACTGGGTTTCCACAATACAATTTCGTTAAATAAATCCAGACCCATCCAAAGCAATGTAGTGGGACCATCTCTGAAGTTGTTTCCAGTGAGTTGTAGTAGTGTTTGCTTTACACTGGGGAGACCCACCCACAGCCACAGAGTTTATTAGGTGGCCTTGAATCAGTCGTTGTGGCTCAGTCTAACCTACCTCACAGGGTTGTTGTGAATGTAAAAAGTAGGAGCTATGTATGCTGCTGCAAGCTGTTCGGAGGAAGGGCAGGGTAAATAATAAATAATCATTGATGTCTTGGTGATTAGAACCAAATTCATGTAGCCTCTTCAATAAAAGACTATGATGACAGTTCGGGATAGAAGGGCTTGCATTTGTAAAATCTCTGTGACTCTGTTGAAGTTTATCTGCAAACAAACAAAATCCCTTCACTTCTGCAGTCTTGGTCACTGTAAATACATTATGCAAGAAAATGAGTCACTGCAAGTAGAATAAACTAAATAATGAAAACAAATGATATGCTATTATTCTTAATATATTCAGAATACATATTATTCATTTTCTGATTATCAATTTTCAAAATTTAATGCAGAAACGGAAATATACACCCCCACCTGCAGTGATACCACTGTCCACACCATATATTTAAAGCATATGATTTTTCAAAAGAATCCCAGAAATGTGCGCAGCAAACACACATCTGGATCCCCAACGAGGAGATACTGAGAAAGAGCACTGGGTGGGGAAAGGGTTAAACATCCATCTATTTCTCTGCTGAGAGCCAATCCTTTCTGGAGCTGCTTTTTTTCTTAAAAGAAGTTGATTTAGGGAGTTAATATATGCATTTGCATAACAGGCAGTTTCTCCCTACCGCCTTTTACAGTTCAGTCAACATTAGCAATTTCCTTCAATAGCAACTGTGCCAGCAAGTAGGCAGCAGGCAGAGTCTGTGATAAGCAAGGAGTGTATTTGTAAAAGAAAGGCCTTGCAAGGGGAGCAAAATGGAAGATCCCATGTATTTAGAATGCACGGGATGTTGCTGCATGGCCTGAAATAAGCTGCAGGCTTTGGAAATTGGCAAGCTGGAATCACAGACTGAATATTTGAACTTGTGGCTTTTGTTATTGCCATCACTTCATTGAGCAATGTCAAGTTCACAAGGCAGTAAACACTCAGGGATTTATAAAGGAAATCACTTTTAAAAATGACTTGCATGAATTCGTGGAAGATTTCTGGAGACACTTGGTCAATTAAAACGTTTAGCTCTTTCTAGGCAGCTCTGCTGCACTACAGCTTGGTAGGTTTGCCATACATAGTTCACCACTGACACCTGGTGTTTAGCTTGGTTCATTGCAAGTGGCTTCAGTTTCTTACTGCAATCTTATGACCTGATGCGAGTCAGTAAGGCAGAGGTACCTAATGTAGTGTCTTCTATATGTTGAAGGCTCTAACCATCAACAGTCCAGGTTGATGGGAGTTGTAGACCACAACATCTGAAGGGCATCACATGGTCTTCCCTGTGCACTAAAGCAGTAACTCACTGCAGTATGAATTAGCCATGTTCATGTGTTGCAGCAAAAGCAATACAGTAGTCTTGTGGCCCCTGAATGACTAACACAGTTACTATGGCATAAGCTTTCGTGGACCAGAGTCCACTTCACTATATACACTTGTAAATAATGAGATCTAATGGCAACGACGTGCCAATAGTACACTCTGTGAAAATTCAACTGAAGCTTAAAATTGTATGCAAAATAAACCCAGTGACTATTCACAACAGCAGTAATTGGTGATACCTTAATTATTGTTAAATTAATTAATGTCTGTAGTGGGACAAGGACCCATAGTCTCTACTTATGCTCAGAACTGATATAATCAAACTTCTTATTCAGTTCTAATTCAGTAGTTTCATACCGGCGTCTTCTTTTAAACTTGCTGTGTAATTGAGTTTCAGGTCAGTCTCTATGCAATGATGATGATGATGATGATCACATATCTGACATCAGGAATGGCAACGTTCAGAAACTCGTGAGAGAACATTTCAGTCTCCCAGGACTCTCTCCTAATGCTGACTTGAACATTGCTATTCTCCAACAAAGGAAGGATGATTAGGTTATCACAAATTACCACTGTTGTAACTGATTCCATTGTTTTTTGTGCATACATTTAAACTTTAATTGTACTGTCACAAGCTGTACGTTTGGCATTTCATGGTCATGGGACTCCATTGGTCCCCCCCCATCCTTCCTCTACACCAGTGGTTCTCAAAGTTGTGGCAGGAGAGGGGGGCAAGTGTGGTGGGAAGATTCAAGGACAAAGAAACATTTCAATATTTCAGGGTAGTATAGTGTCAAAACATTTTTTAAAATATTTGCAGGAAATGGATAGGTATCGTTTCAAAATGAGAGCAGGAGCATCAAGTGATACTGAGAACAATCCTGGTTGTGTTTTCCAATCTATTTCTTATCAGTAAAAAAAAGAAAAATCAGTGTAGCACAAGCAATTTTTTATTCTGTAAGTGTGGCCCAGAGAAAAAAGTTTGAGAGACACTGCTCTACAACCATGTGTATATAACCATGTCCACTGACAAATCAAAGAAATGCACCTGATGAAGGGTACCCATGAAAGTACTATAGCAGAATAACTTTAGCATATAGAATGTAACTATAGTCACGTCAAGCTTGAGCCATATGTCTACAGCTTCTGCACACCTGAAAGAATTGCTTAGTGACACTGCTTTTGGATTCCCTCTGTAGAGGCCACCTTCTCTCAATCACCTATTCCAGAATACAGAGGCACCAGCAGGGCTGCTCCAGAGCATGCTGCTTTATTTTTGCAATGTTACTGGTACTAGTGATGTGCAGGATCTATTCTGTAGTAATGAAACCAGTGGAATTTGCTGCCAAGGAGTGTGGTGGAGTCTCCTTCTTTGGAGGTCTGTAAGCAGAGGCTTGACAACCATATGTCAGGAGTGCTCTGATGGTGTTTCCTGCTTGGCAGGGGGTTGGACTCGATGGCCCTTGTGGTCTCTTCCAACTCTATGATTCTATGATTCTATGAAACCTGAATTCTAGCTGCAGTGGCTATAGGTTAAACTGCGTGGGATCTGCATAAGACCTCCATTAGCCTAACCCTATTAATATTAATATACTTACAGCTTCTTGCTGCAGTGGAATCCTCTGCCAGATTTCACTAGGAGGGATGGGACGCACACACACATATACAATTGACTACTGACAGCTCCCATAAATACCCATGATCCAGTTGAAATAGGAGTGCATGACAGGGTTACCACCCCTACTCTGAACTGTATATTGCCCTTTCCATAACGTGCTTTGCTCAGAAGGAGCGTTGGAAATTAACCTGGCTGCAGTCACAAAGGAAGCACATAACAGTGCTGAACCTGGTGAAGTCTTAACTTAGAAGGCCATAGATTTTTGCCATTAGCTGTTAAAGAAATGAAACGTCTTAACTATGCACAAATTGTTTCCTCCAGTGCATGACACACAGCCCATGTCAACAGTTAATGCCCCAGTCATCTCCACTCCATCTTCCCCTCCCCATTATTTGCATCTCAATTTTTGCGACCAATGGACATAGTTTCCTAGAGGAAGCAGCTATACACATAATGCTATACTGCTCTGTGCTCGCAAGGAAAAGCCAATTAGCACCTACCTGTCATATCCACCCCCACCCCACCCCACCCCGCTGCTGACTCACCTGCTCCCCTCATCACATTTGCAGTGCTATTGTTCACCCTGCTGGAAGAAGTATATCAGTAGTACTGTCCCGATCCTTTAAAGGTAAAGGAGATAGTTAGGAGTCCCAGGCAGAGGAAATAAATGCATATGATGCAGTAGGAACAAATACTAGATGTTTCCACTCACATTCTTTGAAGCACCAGAAATCACTGGGCAGGCTGTGGCTCTTGCTGTAGCCCGATTACTTGGCTTCCATTTTGGACATGTCGCCCAATGGTTGTTGTTGTTCTTTTTTCCAGGTTCGGGATAAAAAACTCCTCAATGACCTGAATGGTGCTGTCGAAGACGCCAAGACTGCCCGTCTTTTTAACATTACCAGCTCAGCACTGGCCACTTTCTGCATCATCCTTGTCTTCATCTTTCTGCGATACCCACTCACCAACTACTAGACCGTGGCCAGTAGTTGCTGCCCAAATTCCCGTGCCAGAAGCCGCCATTGAGTTTCTAACAGAAGGGACGCAAACAAATAAGACGACACCCATGCAACTCCCTCCAAATGGCAAACGCCACCCCAAACAGATCGAAGAAACAATCAGGACTCCCCTTGACACTCCTCTCCCCCCCCGCCCCCCAAATAGCCTGACTGGTATGTGAACTTACGTAGCAGAGAGTTTTACTTTTACATTTTGTACACAAAGTATTTATTTTCATGATAAAGAAATAGGATTTGATGGTGAGATGGAAATGACACGGCTTAATCGGAGGGGACGGCGGACTGCGGTGGAGGAGAAACGGAAGGAGTACACCAGTGATCCCAAGATGAAGGCAACATAACCGACCTGAGAGTGCTGAACTGAGAGGATGGGGCAGATTGCCCTGTTAGGCATGGTGAAATGCAGACCTCTTTCGGGATATACCCCTAAGTCTGTACACAGTTTCAGAAGCTCAAGAGAGGGAATGGAATAATTAAAAAAAAAAAGCTTGCTGCTAAGAGTTAGGCATGGCCTTTGCAGAACATATCAGTTGCATTCAGACTGCTTCCAAGTTCTTTCCCTCTCCGCTCCCCACTCTGTGTCCCCCAACACACACACACACACCTTTGCCGTCTACATTTTTACCTGTTTTCATATTTATTTGATTGAAGCCCATAATAGCTTGCAAAAATGTTTATAAATCAGGAAATTTGGGTTCTAGACAGGTTACACTAGCCTCTCCTGACGAATCCTGGAGCCTTCCAGGGTAAATCCCAGAGGGGAGGGAAAAAGTAATGGTCCTCTTTGGAACCTCATGGAAACACTGAGAATGTAGACAACTTATGGAAAATTTGCATAGATCCTGTATCTCTGTCAACTTTCAATAAAAATACCTCTAACCATCAGACACTGTATACTACAGGTTGCATGTTTCTGCCTCATAATGCCATCCACAGCAGGAGAAAGCTGGGCTTTGTTGACCAATTTAAAGATGGTAGGATTTCATTTAATATAGCTTTTGAAACAAGCCGAACCATTCTTTTTAAATTTTACAATATCTAGGTCAGTGTCACAGTGCAAAAGTAAATATTTTTTTCCCCAACTGCCCCAAGATAGCATTGCCATTCATCAGTTTAGTAAGCCTACAAATAATTTGTATTGTTCACTTGATAAATACTTTCATTCCACAGGGGCCGGGGGCTGGAGTACTCTAATGGGCAACAGAATTCGCCTCTTTCCCCATAGTGGAATTGTGTCCTTCCACCAAACTAGCTTCAACAGGGCACTTAAAGAGAAATACAAAAATTGCAGCTGCTCCACTATTGTTAGTAAAGCCCAAACTATTTGGCTGTACTTTGGAGAAGTCAGCGGTTCCGCATCCTGAGCCCAGCCTCGCCCTCTTCTTTATAACTATGGCTTTCCTAAGGTCCTTTTGCTTCAGTTTAAAAGTACCTTTGATTCATGGGTAGTTCATTTGTTTGCCTCTATGGAAGCTTTCACAGGCACTTAGCAACTGCCAGAAAATGGTCTATTCCAGCAGTGGTCTGGCAAGGGGGCACAGTTTAGGAGCTCAGCATGATGCAGGCTGCTGCTGTGCCCCCACACCATGCTGAGCTCCCTGCTGCCTTGCCCCCTTCCTATTCCAGTAACCAGCAGCAATGCCTGATGTTAGAAAGCCAGCTTGGCAACACAGACCCCCCCCCATACCACCAGCTGCTACTGTCTCTTTTCCAAGGGTCTGGAATTAGTCAGGGTCATGCTCTGCGGACATATGCATAGCCAATTGTTGGCTCCTCCCCCTTCTGTTTGTTTTCACCATTTCATGGAGCAGCATGGCAGGCAGCCTTGGAGAAAGAACATAGCCATCTGCCTTACCATTGATCTGAGCATTGATCTATCTGCCTTAGTGTTGTCTGCACACTGACTTGTGCTCTTTGAGAGAATTTTCCCATTAGGACTTAGGATCATTTGCATGGAAACTACCAGTGAGCACCATCCCTTTCCCTATGTATGTGCAATGTATAATTCAAGCCTAGGCAACAGCCGGCTATAGGTCAGAACACAGCCATTGACAAGTATGGGGCTTAAATAATGAACACACAGGTCCAGCTCTGAGGACCCTCTGGTGGTTCCCTCCCTGCGAGAAGTGAGGTTACAGGGAAGCAGGCAGAGGGCCTTCTCGGTAGTGGCTCCCTCCCTGTGGAACCCCCTCCCATCAGATGTCAAGGAAATAAACAACTATCTGACTTTTAGAAGACATCTGAAGGCAACCCTGTATCGGGAAATTTTTTATGTCTAATGTTTTACCATTTTTAATGTGCTGTGAGCCGCCCAGAGTGGCTGGGGAAACGCAGCCAGATGGGTGGGGTATAAATAATAAAATTAGTAGTGGTGGTAGAAGTGAGACCAGGTGCCACATCAGCAACACCAGAATCCACTGAGGACTATTCAATTTGGTGTGAATCCCTCTTGCACAATCTGTCCCTATAGTGAAATTTCACCATTTACCACGACTTTATATAAAATGGGTGGCAGAAGGTATTATTCATGCTGGTGTTATCCCTTTGTATTTTTAACATACTTTCTCCCCCTTTTACGCACCTTAAGTAAGAGGCAGCCGTGCTTGTACAAATGGAAGGAAATCAAATATATAACAGACAGGCAGCAGCGCCACAGGCACAGGCGAGTCAGCAGAATGAAGAAATGGATACGCGACCAGCATACACAGTTGCATGATGAGAGGGGAAGGACAGGTTACAGATAATAGCTCTGCGAAGACAAGGATGTCCAAATTCCATGTTGGCAAAATGCAAGGACAGCATGAGAGGCTGTGTGTGTCCGCATGCAACTAGTCATAGTCACGTGCACATTCATATTCAGGGAGCTGGAGAGCAGAGCAAGTGAGAGTATATTCCAATCTCATTAGGCAAATATGGCATATTCACAAAGACCCTGGTTAGCTGATACTAAAATATGAATAGCTGGAACAGAATACAGATTGGTTTGCACCAAAACAGTAATGCCTACTATCCAGTACTGTACAGTGGTACCTCGGGTTAAATACTTAATTCGTTCCGGAGGTCCGTTCTTAACCTGAAACGGTTCTTAACCTGAAGCACGACTTTAGCTAATAGGGCCTCCCGCGCCGCCGGAGCACGATTTCTGTTCTTATCCTGAAGCAAAGTTCTTAACCTAAAGCACTATTTCTGGGTTAGCAGAGTCTGTAACCTGAAGCGTATGTAACCCAAGGTACCACTGTATAGTCAATAGCAGTTGTAAGATCTTAATAACACACAGGCTTTTCGATACAGTACAACAGCTTCCCCATTCATTGCAATGGAAGGGGTGGGTCTGCACATTTCTTTCCATGCATAGAGCTTCCTATGCTGCTGGAGCTAGCTGCAGCATACAGAATCCACCTGCATCCCGCCATACACAGGTTTCTGAACCAGACAGAACTAGCTCATAAAACCTAACGCCTTTTGTATTAGGGTGTGCTACATGAGGCAAATAGGCTAAACAATTATACAAACTGGTCTCCCCCTGCCGGGTTGCAGACTTTCTCCAGGGAGAAATGTTCTAGCTTGATAGGTCTGAGAAAAGATGTACTGTAGCTGCTGCAGTTGCTGTTGCTGTTGCTGTTGCATTTTTCTCATCCCATTGACGTGCATATTTTTGTTTTACTTATTGCTCCAGTGATCTGAGAGTCTTTCATGTCTGACTGCTTGCTCCATTTGTCAGAAGGTTAGCATTTCGGAACCCGAGAAGCAGCAAGATGCAGGCTTTGATTTGTGATTTCGTTGGAATATTGCTACACACTTCCCTCTCTAGTCCTTGCCTTTTGCTCTGCAGTGAGGAGTGTCTTTGCAGCAGAAGCTGATTGTTGCTTTCAGGTTATTGATTAGCAGGGGAAACGGGCCCACCTCTCCTCTGTTCCTGTTGCTGCTGTTGGCACTCCTGTGTAAACAGAAGGGGAACAAACCACTTTTTCCAGTATTGAAGGCAATTACAGAAATATATTAGAAGCAGGAAGCAGAGGGGTGCAACCAATGTCAATTTTTCATTTGCATGTAATAAATATTTGCACAGTGAAGGAAAATCCCAGTCCAAGGTCAGCAGAGACTGCTTTCGTTTCTCATTACAGTCTATATATTTTACAGCCTATATATAGGACTTTGATACAGTTTATCTACTATATATTATAGTACAGTAAGCCCGCAACTTACACACGTTTAATTTGTGTGCATTCAGCTTTATATACTTGGCAAGATAGATTAGATAGATAGATAGATAGATAGATAGATAGATAGATGATAGATAGGGGGCAGAAGGAAGTGAGCGTGTGGGGAAAAAAGACTTTGGCAATCCCACCCGCCATTGACCCTAATGTGTTTTGATCATACACAATTTTGGCTTTAGGTGCCATCTCTAAAATGTAACCCCTGCATAAGTTTTGTACTTTCTGATGCTGAATGATCTTTTCCCCAGCTGCTTCTTCTGTGGTTTATGTTGCTGCCAGGGCTCAGCATCAGTAAATTCAGGAATATGTGAAGACATAATGAAACAAACAGTCCCTAAGCATATGCAGAGTGCCTTTCCTTGATCACAAAGAAATTGCACCCTGCCTCCACACCTTTGGGTTTAAGGCAGAGGGTTTTCAAGGCTTGCCCAAACATCTTTTCAGGGAGAAATTCAAGACTAAACTGCAAAACATGAAACTATCATAACAGAATTTGTTGTGATCATTTATACTTCTGTTTCATACCTCACAAAAGCTACAGTGATGTTAGCAATGATAATGACATGGGCCAAATATAGTCATCCTATTTTAAATAAAGAATACTGCACATATGGCATGTACACCTATCCCATAAACTCTAGATAATTGTTTAGAATAATAAATACTCAGCAGGCACTCACAATCCAACACAGAGTTAGGCACATTTAAGTCTGGAGGATTAATATGTGAATAGCTC